GGGAAACGCGATAGTGGACTCCTCTGAAAAGCAACTACAAGCAATCGACCTACGACACCTGCGTTTATCAATGACCTCTCCGAAAAAGCTTAGCGATTTTGGATGGCGTGATTGTATACTTGCTGAGTGTGTGTGTGATGTGATCCTAAATGGCATGTTTACTCTACTCGCACATAACAACTAGTGACAGAAGCGAAATGCCGATATTGCCACTGGAGGAAGAAAAGCGAACTCTACGCACCGACGCAGTAAAACCACACAGTAGGCAAGCCGAGATGCGTGCTGAACGATAACAGGAACACTGTTTTTTATACACCTGTTCTAAACGATGTGAGAGGTACCTCAGAAAATTCCGGAGAAGAAACGGTGCAAGCAACTCCGCAGGTATCAAATAATACAATATTTTGACTCAAAATGAAGATTGGTTCCATAGGTTAATAAATTCAGGTTTTCATAAATATATAATATTTTCATATTTAATGTATTTATGAAATAAAGTTGAAATATAAATTTCTTTAAAAAATTCTTTTAATGAATCACCGGAGCTCAAGTTATATATATCATGGACTGTTCTTTTTTGTAAAAAAATAACACATTTGTTTTTTTTTTCGACCATTGCACATCACACCAGATTTAAGACACCAGTCTTAAATCTTATTAAGTGCACCTTTTACTTCATTAAGGGTCTCAATTTTCCGGTTGACCTTAAATATTAGTGAATCTGCATAAAATACAACGTTAGTAAGATTTTGAACGAAGAATGATAATTCATTAATAAAGCAAGCAACAAAATGGTTCAAGAATAAATCCCTGTGGTACGCCTACTTTAACCACAGAACCTACGGAGTTTACGCAATTAATCTTTTTGATTCTTTTGCTAAAATGGGAAATCAACAAACGGAAAGCCTGTCCACTTGAGCCGTAATAAAGTAATGTTGTGTGATTTGCACAGTCAAGAGCTTTAGGTAAGTCCCAAGACGCGCCAATCGCATTCTGTGAGTTCTTTTAAGCAATATAAATATGTAGTATCAAGCATGCTCCTGCATTAGATATACAGTGTCCTTTAGTAAAACCAAACAGATGATCATGAAGTAACTTAGTTATAATAAAGAAGGAAATTATCTGGTTTATAATCAACTTTTTAAATACTTTACTTAGAATGTCGGTAATACAGGCCGGGTTCTTTTGAATCACCAGACTTACAGCCTGGCCACGGGACATTTGCCGTAGCGAAAATTCGCGCAGCGCGGGTATAGTCGGGCGGCAGTCGCGGCGAATAGTATAGGAACAAAATATTTTAGTTGTTTTCGCCGCGAAAAATGCCGGGCCGACAAAAACAACTTAAAATTCTATCCGCATTTACTTTTATCTCAAATTATGGTTGAATATTAACAAGAATATAATCGCAGGTTTCAACACTCATTCTGGTATTTACTCGAAATTTTTTTCTAGATGCATTCTATTTCTTGGGGAATTCTCCATCTATAACCCGATTCCTATTCAAATCAAGTACTCCGCAATCTCATCCAAATATTATGTCTTGAATCAAAACACAATTACTTTCTAAGCAATATCGAAATAACTTTGATAAAGACATTTCACTCTCGGCCTATCTGGTCGCGGCGGCAAACGTGACTTCCCGTGGCCCTTAAATCACGCCGCACGAATTTTCGGCCCGCCAGTCGCTTCGCCGTTCGCGCCGCCGATCCCCGTGGCCAGGCCGTTAAGGGTACACTAGTCGCTTATTCTTCCATACAAACGTAGTCCGGCGATAACTCCACTGTTTGATGATGTACGTTCAAAATAAAAAATGATTTCAATTTGTCTCATCATTATCTAGCCCTGTATGGAAACAAAAAAGTAAAAAAAGAGTATATTTAAAAGTTATAAGCGTCGAAAATTCCGAATTTCAACACTATTTTTAACACATCTTTGGGCGGAAATAAATACCACAAAAAGAACGAAAATTGCAAAACAGTTACCATACAGGGATAGATTAGTTGTTCAAAAATGCAAATAATTTTATTTTAAACAGGTACATTCAATAGGTTTTTCGTGACATCCAGACTACCAAATGTCTGTTTATAAAATTTCGCGCGCCCGTTTTTGTTATAAAACATCTTGCCTTTCGCTACAAATTGTTTCCCCGATCAGTGGGACGGACGGAGAGGGGGGGGCGCAGCACGCACTCACACATGCTCACTAGGTTAGCCGCTGCTATCTATTTATGGTTGTAATATCTACATATAAAAACTGCTTCCTTTTTTTGTTTGTGCCTTTTATTTGTTTGGACTGACCACCTGACTCGTTCAGTGATGCCATTCCCATACAGTGTTTAGTTTTCAACTAGCGTTATCTATAATAAAATAAATAAAAAAATTATTCATATTTCGCTAATTGTGTCTGTACTGTGAATTTGATTTACAATCGATCTCTGAATTGTAGTTTTCTTCTAATTACTTACCTTGTCTAGACGTCTTCTTTGGACTTTTGTAAGGAAGTCTGTGCTGTTAGTCCTATTCCGTTTAGGTACGTTACTATTTTGATAGACGTTTGTGCTTGTTCCTGCAGTGACACAATGTCTATTGTTGATAACTTTCTAAGTACTAAAAGAATATTTCAAACCGCTATTGAACAAAAACAATTAATAAACAATTTACAAACTAACATTATTTTTTTATTTAATTAACCTATATAAAAGCCACACTCACATCAAAATCGCGCTGTCGAAAAAGCAGTTATCCTGACACTGGCTGACATATACTTCGGGGTCGGGGAGTTGCCTGCGGGCTGTTATAGCTAACTAACTATGGAAAGTAAATACCTATTTAGAATACATAGTACCTACAGTAATATTTGCATAACCTACAGTAAAATACAAAAACATAAAGAAAACATAATTATGTTACACTTTTTGTGTTTGTTTTAGAAATTGTTATATTTTTTTTTAAAAAAAGTTTTTTATGTTACCGTTTTTAGTTTAGAGTTATGTCCCTTTAGTGGGTACAGGCGTGATATTATATTGTGTGATTGTGTAAAGAATGCATAGATAGGCGATAGCAGCAATCGCGGTTGATTTGCTGTCATTTATTGAAGAGTGCCCCCGATTTTTCCAAGATCCCATCATCAGATCCTGATCTGATCATCATCGATTACCGTGGGTTTATCTGGAAAATATATCCTTTCAAACAAAAAAAATAATTTTCTAAATCTGTTCAGGCATATTCGAGAAATCGGGGGACAGAACATACATAAACAAAAACCAACGAATTGAGAACCACCTCCTTTTTTCGAAGTCGGTTAAAAACTAGGTAAAAACAAATCAATGGAATTATTATATAATAACAACATCTACTTAAGTTCACATAAGAACTTTCATCATAACAACTAAGTACATAAATTGGGTTCATAATAATTACGTTTCACACAGCAGATCCTAAGTTACAATAACACCAATTTGCTTTCTCTCTCCTTTCTCTTTTTAAAATACGTTATCCCCACAGTAGGATTTTCTGCAGTATCGTGGAGGCAGTTTACAAATATAAATTGCACAAGAACAAACATCCAGACCCGGAACAACTATTTGTAGTCCATACAAAATAGTTGTTCCGTAAGGGATTCGAACCCGCGGCACCCAGCGCAGCTACTCATTGCTAAGCCATTGTGGCACGAAGCTCACAATTGCCGTTTGAGTTTATGTTATTATTTTAAAATGAATCGCATAGGTACCTAGGTACGCGATGATGCCGTCGCGCATTGCGTCACTCGAGTGCGTATGGCTACGGTCTCCTATTAAATGCTATACGCGACGTCCGACTTCAGCGTAAACGTTCCGATCGGAGTCTGAACGCCAGGCACAGCGTCAGTGGTCAATACATATTAGCAACGGACGACGTCTAGACTTTCGATCAAACAACAGTAAGTGTGGTTGTGTGTGATATTTGTTCATAAAATGGATATAAATTCAACACTTTTGGCGGCGCTTGTGTTACTTGAAGAAGAGGCACAAGACGACCGTATACGAAGAAAAATAAAGGCAACAAGGCACTGATTATTTATGAAGAGAAATGAGGAAGGATGTTTCCAGCTATTGATAATGAAACACTTAAAAGACAGCGATTCTAAATTTACTGAATATTTTTTGTATTAATCAAGAACAATTTAAACATATTGTAGAGATTATGCAGGAATATGTAATAAAAGTGCCATCAAAAAGGCATCCTAAGCCCATATCGGTTGAAGAAAAAGTTTTCCTTTATTAAATTTGGCCATTTTGTACTGACGCTAGACACGACGTTCACGCTGCAATGGTTCAAAATAACTAGAGACGCAGCGCAAAGCGTCTTACGCCGCCTACGACGTCCATACGCCGACGTCAGCGTGTAAAAGAGACCACAACAGTACATTTCTATAGTAAGCATCGTAACGCGGCGTACGGCGTGACGCTGTAAGCGGCCGACGGCGTTTATAGGAGACCACCGCCTTAGTGTGTGCGCACTAGCTTCTTACTGCTCATCACAGCGTCTATCCCTTTCGCACGAGATGTCGGCTGAGATAGCATGCATTTTTGCCCCGCCCACCATTTAGTTCGTGCCATCGACTAGGGCAACCTTAAAGAGCGGAATTATCTTACGATATTTCATTAAATAAGGCAATATGGTAAATACGGTAATGGTCTTTAAATTATGTCGAATGCAGGCATGTTTTGTATTTTCATACAATGCGGATAGCTTGTTCCTACTTTTACGAATATCTAAAGTAGCCCAATAGTTAAACTTTAAATTATTATTTATTGGCGGATGTCGATTTCATATTAACATTTTTTCAAATTTGGTTCAAACCTTAGGTAATTGAAATAACTATAAAAATCGTTAGGATCAATTGGTTCAATAATTGGTGCACTTAAATTTCGTAATAGACACTAAATATTTCAATTTTTTAGCACAAGCTTATTACAATCGTGACAAAACTGGTGTAGACGTGTTAGTGTGCATACAAACCTGAACATGACGCACGCATCCGTCGAAGTCGTACGGCCCTTTGTGCGAATTGGACGCCTTCAGTTTGATGTTGTGTTCGCCTCTCACGTCGTCGGCTATGTCAGCTATATCTTCCTTATGTCGCGCGTGGGTCACTTCTTGGGCGAGCGACTTGGCCGCATCCACCGTCCTTTTAACCGTACTACCGAAGAAACGCTTTAACCTGCCAGGGGGTATTCGTTTGTTTAAATCTCATGGCGGCAATTTTGATATAATTATATTTGATAGTAACATTTAGTGTTCGAATATGTCGATACAGCTTTCTACTTAAGGTGTATTATTATACACTAAAGTATATTGAATGTCATGGTAGTATACACAATACCAACATTTTAAAGTATAAAGCTATTTCTAAAGCAAGTACAATAATATTGTAATATTTTACTTTTAAAACACAAGGCGGTCGGTCAAGCGGACAAATATATACATCAGATTGTAATAAGTTCAGTAGGTAATAGTAAAAGAAATACTATTTATAACAATTTTATTTTTAATCACAAGAAAATTTTAAAAATAAAATTGCTTGGAGACTCTGTTATTAAAGATGTTAAAGCATTATTTATAACCGTGTTACGCAGCCCTGATCTAGGCAACCTGCAGCGTTGCAGCAGTTTACGAGAATCACGAGGCACCGCGGCAGCATAACGTGCGTACTGTGTTATATTCCCTGGTTCTGATATTTTACCGTGTGAATTCATTCCAGATTCAAACTTCGAATTAGAGTCACTTCTCTTAGTTGTAATAATCAATTGTAATGATTATTGTAAATTAAATATATTTTGTTTTGTTTGCAACCTCTGGCTGGAGCACACATAATTACAGGAATGTATAAATGTAATGACATCCTGCAATTTAATTTTAATTTTGTTATTGACCCATTTAAAACCACAAAATAGAATAAAAAAGTAACAGAATAACTTAATGACAACGCACATTGAATGTGCGTTCCGATATACACTGTGAGCACTATAAGATGTGACGTCAATTCAGTATAATATTGTGAAGCCATTCCTTTTTAGTTTGCTATACTGATTATTATTCAAAACGGCAGAAAAAAATCCTATAAAAATATCCTATATAAAAAGATGAATATATTTATCATATTTATATCAATTATTATTTGAATGTTGTTGCTTTTAAAACTTAATCTCGGAGTTTATTTAAATAACAATATTAATTAATAACAATGAAGCTGTTAAATCTCTAGGCGCTGTTGTTTTGTGATAACGTTATCAAAGCACTGAGAGTATTTTACCTCGCAAGCGCCAGTGTTCACAGTACAAAAATGGCGACAATTTATCACGTCACATATTTAGGGTAGGGTACTGTGGTAGTATGCTGGCAGGCCATAACGGAACGAATTTTTCACCAGTGAAAGCAGTATATATTGGAACACGGCCTGAATAAAACCAATTTTACGGATTTTATATAATTTAATTTCATATTTTTTTAATTCCCGATGTTTCGAGCGCTTTACAATATATTCTTAAATTTGTTGAAACTTGACAGTTCATTATAAGTAAAAAAATTGTCTACGCAGCTCAAAAAATATATTTAAATTCTCTATCTCGTCTCTCTAGTCTTGCTTTTATACGTAAAGCGTTCTTCACATAAATTTTACAATCATATGATACAGAGTAATAGATGTATGTATTGACTGATATATGAAAACTGAAAGCATGTTGCTGTACATAGAGGATGATATATACACCAATAAGTAGCGTTAGCAGCGAAAGCACAATATATTTACTTTTTTTAGAATAAAAGTGACAAACGAGCACACAGTCCACCTGATGGTGAGTGGACGCTGTGAACCATAGACCCATCGTTTACAGTAAAAAAGGGTCCCCGGATCTCTACACTCACCATACAAAACACAGCAGTATTAAGCTGTTATTTTACGCTGGTATTCTATGAGAGCGCGGTCCTTCCCCGGTCGAGACGACCCATTCGTGCTACAACCATAGTATAACAGCAGCATGGCTCTACCAGCTATAAGCTTTCGATGTAATTATTTCCTTGTAGTACAAGGAGTATTCTACCAGTAATTAATAAAAGCACAACTTAATAGTACCTAACATACCAGTGTAGTGTCTAGTGTTCACTACATTGTGTGTGCGTGTCTAGTGTACCATAGAAAAAAACTAACTTGTCCTTAACTTACCGTATACTACTACAAAGTTTAAATATTTTATTAGACATAAACTGTACAAAAAGGGTTATTATAATACATATATACGAATGCGTGGTTGATAATAACCTCTGGAAATGAGGTGTGGTCACTACTAAGCTGTTTCTTATATAAGTTTTGTAAGTAATTAGTACAACCTTTATTTTATCTTAAAATTTTACTTTAAAAGAAACGTCCCGCAAGGCTTCTTGCTGGTTACTCCGTATCCGGTTAAGTAAGAGGTTTTTCCCAGCCAGTGGCTAAAAGTAAAAAAAAATTGGTTGACCCTGCAGGCCATCCCTGGAACTTTCCTACTGTACCGACACGCCAACCCAGTCGCTTCTTAATTTTTATTGCGGTTATTTCCCATTTTAATTTTACTTCGTCCTGTTGCGTAATGTGTAGTCTGATCGTTAGCGACACAGCTTTCCCGTCCGAAGCGAGACTGATCGTGATCGGACGGCAGGGAACAAGGTTCAGGACACCGATAGTTTAGGTAATTTCTTTTTACAGTCAAAATAATGGTAATTTAAAAAAAAATTAAAGATCATAAGCCCTGCTTTATAGTTATAGTCAGTATGCAAAGTTTTATGATCTAATTTAAAGTGTTTTATGAATACCAGCGGTTTATTGTTCAGTTTGGAGGTAACTTTGGATTTTATTTCCATCGAGAAAATATTACGGAATCGTGTTTTCGTCTAACATAGTACTTAACATTAATCCTCACCTTTACTTTTACTACTATTACTACTATTTATTTCAAAATTAATAAGATCTTCGGTTATGCAATTTTTTCGGCATAACGGAGGATCTTGCTAAGCCATTTGAGGTAGTATAGGCCCTTATCGTCCACCAGATGTCGCTAATTGGCTATGAGGTGATCTTATTTGATACACAATGTCATTATAATTAAAAAGTGCATTACACAAAACAATGCCTAAGTGGTTTGCTCCTTAATATTTTGCACATTTTTTTTACTCTCTTTTTCCTTTTTCTCCCTTTAGAAATAGGTATCTCTAGTTTGGTTTATCCATTTCTCACCTAATTAATTAAAAATATAACTAATATTTTAGGAAAGAACATTAACTCTTACATTTTCCAAACAAATTAATTTCCCCGCTGTGAAATCTATTGACTATTAAGCAGCGCCGGCCTGGTGGCAGAAAAACACACTATCTACACGGCGCACAAGCGATAAGATGGCGTGATGGATTATATTGACCATTTTGGCAAAGAAAACTTAATTCGTGTTTAAATATAAAAGTTTCACAAATTTTCACGGCTCATATCGATGAAAAATAAGCAATGGGATTATAAAGATAAAAAATCAAACAAATCAATGTAAAATCATTGATAAATTAACTGTACACAAAAACAAAACCTCTCTCAAAGCGATTAAATCAAAAACATGCGAAATTTATATATTGCGAACTGAGGCGCTTAGTATATTTGCACATATGCGTCAAACGGAAGTGGTCAACCGAAACTCTCAAAGGAAATCTGTCAAAAGCAGTTACAATCTGTTCCAATCGAATTTTCTGCGAATGTAAACAGTTTTTTGCTACTCATATTAAAAGAACAGGTTTTGAAAAAACTTGAATTTTATAATAAAAATTATTATAATAGCAATACAACAAAAAAAATTTGAAAATACATTTTATTAAGTCTACAGATAAATGTAATAATTAACATTTATTAGACGAAAAAGGGTGTAGTGTCAATAATATGATATATGTCATATATAACCAAACCCTGTTTAAAAATGTTTTTATAAGTACATATAAATAAAAATCGTATGACGTCATTCTACACAAAACATTATATTTCACATTGGTTTGGAATTATTAAACTATAAAATGTATAATCATTAAATAAGAGTAGCCAAAACATTGTTTTCATTGGAGAAAAGTTAGAATGGAACCGATTTTATGATTTGCAATACGGGCATCACCTGGAGTTGGTCGCACTCGTCAACCTCCTGTTAATGTTGTCGTGGGAGTGACACTTCACTAAATCTTTCATCAGCACTCTGAACCAACGAAATAACCCACGTTGAGAACTTTACAAATTCAAAATTCACCATATTTTATCTATTGTATACTTTACGATTCAAAATGGCGGTAAAATAGCAACATCAATATAAGCATATTATTATATAAATATAAAAAGGGTATATTTTCTTAGTTTCCTTCCATTTGCCTGGCTATGCTGGTATATAGCCCTTTGTCTCAGTGTGCGAGTAACTGATAAAAATATGTAAGGTAATGTAATCTTCTCTAACAATGTTCCTGGTTTTTTTTCTAGATATTTCCACAAATTCCTGGAACATCTTTAGTAAGACATTATCCGGAAAAAGCAGAGTATTGCAGCTACTTGTTGATGTAATCTATACATAAGAGTTTTAATATGTAAAATAAAGAGAGGGAGGAAATGTAACGTGTGTTTTCTCTTTTCTCTTTTAATGTTATGACGTCTTAGGGCGATGGCGAATTTTTTCATATTGTGAGAAATTTGAAATTGTCATATAAAAAAGATATTTATTATATATACACTTACTTCTCAGTTTTTCTTCTTATCGCAGTCGTCTGTCTATCTGTAGATTCTCTTTTCATCTCTTTTGCCTCATCTTCTACTCCTTCTACGCACACGCTCTCACTTTCTTCGTCGGTTTCCCTGCAAGAGAAATTTGGGTTTTATAACATATATTTATCCTGTTTTTGTAACGGCAACATTTTAAAGTACGACACGAAAATAAAAGATAAATTTTGCAACAAAATGCAAATAATATTTAAAAAAATAGTTGTATATGTCTAAATAAAGGTGGGTCTCGATCCACGACTAGTTCCTTAATATTGTTGCGCGCCACAATTAATTCCTGGTACAATGCTATTCTAGTTACCACTAACGCCATCTAGTATCGAGTAGCAGAACTAGGAGAGTCAAGATCCTTCTAGAAATTTCCATGGAAGAACTTTCTAGAACTATCGACACCTAGTCAGTCGGGACCGGTATGTACTCGAACAATCTAGATGTTTCTACAGTAGAAGATTCTGGAACTATCTGAGGGCTTATATAAGGCCGGTATAGACTGCAACCCGGGTCAGTATTCAATTGGCAACTCAAGCGATTCTACTCCATTCTATAATTCGACTTCGAAGCGATTATGATGTATATTGTATAATACAGTGTGTTTTAAGTTGTAATTAGTATTCAGACTAGACTCAAATCTTTTACGGAAGTATCAATACTTTTCAAGATGGGCAAAAGATCCTGTTTAAACATGTTATTCTAATTATTTTATAACAACCAGGCAATTTGTGGATCATTGACACCTTCGTTGTTGATATTTCACACATTAAAACCAAATGGTTTGCATCGTCTTTCATAATGCGTATAGCAAATAAGTAATAAACTGTATAACTTACAACTATAGCAAAATCTAATACTAATAAAGAGCGCGTGCCTGCATTTATATACCGTCTTATTACAAAACGTGGTTTATCGATAGAATCGGGTTAAAGCAACGGTTTAAGGGTAAATATAACCTCATTTGGCTTAACAAGATCCTCCGTTATGTTGAGCAGCAGCAGGTATTGCAGCATTAATTTTGAAATAAATATATGGTAAAGTTGAGGATTAATGTTAAGGACTATGTTAGACGAAAACACGATTCCGTAAAATTTTCTCGATAGAAAAAAAAATACAAAGTTACCTCCAAAATAAACAATAAACCGCTGTTATTCATAAAATACTTTAAATAAGATCATGAAACTTTGCATACTAACTGAACTAACTATAAAGCAGTGCTTATGTTATTTACTTTTTTTTAAATACCATTATTTTCACTGTAAAAAGAAATTACCTAAACTATCGGCTTCTTGAAGCTTGATTCCTGCCGCCCGGTCAGTTTCAGTCAGTTTCGCTTCGGCCTTTGAAGGGGGAGCTTGTGTCGCTTACGATCAGAATACACATTACGCAACAGGACGACGTAAAATTAAAATGGGAAATAACCGTAATAAAAATAAGAAGCGACTGGCTTGGCGTTAAGAAACAGGCATAAATATGATAAACCTAACGAAATAAGTATCTAACGACCTTTTTCCTTACAGTATTAGTGATTACAAACATGTCGGTACATAGCATACGACGCGCGGGGAAGTGGGGGCGAAATTAGAATTTGAGCTGACTTACTATATCCTCTTAAGAAGCCTTTCTCACAAGTCTCTCCGCGGCACACAATATGTGAAATGTGACATTTGCTGTCAAATTTCATACTTTACATTAGATTTTGCATATTTTTGCGCAACAAATACCTAATACTAATAACTAATTTTACGTCGTCCTGTTGCGTAATGTGTATTCTGAGCGCAAGCGACACAGCTCTCCCGTTCGAAAGCCGAATCGAGACTGAGCGGGGGTGTCGGGCGGCTGGAAACAAGCTTCAATACGCCGATAGTTTACGTATTTTCTTTTTATGGTGAAAATAATGGTAATACATAAGATCTGCTTTATAGTGACGTAAAAGACCAGCTGGGTTAGTTAAGATGACTTTCTACGATAAACGTCATAGAACATGTCATAGAACGCGTCACAGAAAACTATGAAAATGAATGGAAATGATATATCGGAACGTCAAGTCATGTGACCATCAAGTGATTTATTAGCGTTAATTTGATTCATTTTTACAGTTTTGACTTAGAATGCCATCTTGGATAACCCCGCAGTAGAACTAAATAATTAAAAATCAAGATTGACATTATTCTTGCAGTTATAGTTCTTGCAATTAACACTCCATTACGCGCGCCCCTGTTTGGGACGCGAGTGCTCGCGCGCTCTACATATGTAGAACTATTTTGTGTAAAGATTTTGCAGGAACAATAAACAAATATAAAAATACTTCAATATCATGTGAAAACAAACTTTAATAAGAAACTAAAATAGACGAAACATAACTGTTACCATTTATTAGGCACTTAATATCAGACTTCTTGTGAATTTTGAGAAAAATCAATGATTTTTTGGCATCATACCTTCTCAGTCACCTTTTTTTACTCGCTCATATCTTCCACACAGTCTTTATCATTTTTACAACAGTCAAGGCATTGAAGAACTTGATGTTGAGGACGAATCCACTTTTTACAGGTGTCACATTATTTTCTAGTGGACTTATTGCGCGCTCTGCCACAAAAGGAACATTTCCCGACTTGACCAGTGTTGGGGAGTTGTGCTGGGCATGGTTGTAATTCCGATGGCTCTTTCATACCCAAAAGCATTTTCCCTTTCATTTTTAATGATTTTGCAATACTTTCAATATTTATTCTGCGTTGTATGTATGGCGCGACTAGGTGAAAACCAAGTTCATATAAAAAATCCTTCCTGGCCTTATTTCTGTAATCCTTGTTTATTGTATGTACAATATAACCGTTTATAGCACTTATATTCATTAAATTAAAAAAAATGGTAAGTGGCCATCGCCTAGAGTTTTTGGAGACGTCATAAATACTACAAATTTTGTCTACAATGTCCACGCCATATTTGGTATTGTTGTAAAAAGTTATTATTTCCGGCTTACGTTTCTCTGCTGTTTGTAAATCGATATGATCATCATAGTGCATAGTTGAGTATATAAGCACCACTTTCTTTGATTTTGGCACGTAAGATACTAAAGTACCTTGTTTTTGAAAGCCAAAAATTGAACTCGTTTCGCTTCTGTTTCTTGTGATTTTGAATTCTTTGGGAATTTGTGGCTTATCTTTCTTCACAGTGCCTACGACAGTAATTTTGCTACCTAAGCGTTCTCAAGCATTGAGGTATATTCGTGAACCAATTGTGCATTGTGATGTTATAACCTAAACCATCCAATGGGGTAAGCATTCGTAGCACAATGTCCACAACTTTATTTGATTGTGCATAAGGACCATCTGGCTGAGCACCTGCGTATATTTCCACATGGTAGGCATAAGGTACCTTTTTATCCGTTAGTAAAAATATGTTTATCCCATACTTTGCTGGTTGCTTCATCAGTAATAACTTCTTCCAACCATCTCAAAATATGTGCCATCATTGTGCGAAATATAGTTACTTCGGTTAAAAATAATATTATCAAACAAAAAAAATTCATAATAACAATATTTATACATAATATAAACACTTACATAAAATAAAAACGATAGGTAAACTTCCGACAAAAATGACACGCGAGTGCTGCGCGTCTACTATTGTAGAATTTTAGTTTTAGTGCGAAATTTCTAACAAAGGCGATCGTGCAGTTTGCCGAAAGGGTACTAATTGTGATCACCAGCTAGTAATGGAGGAATACTATGAGTGTGTGCGTTAGACACCCACAATTAATGTTAAAATCCCACGAAATGCATGCCTGTTCTACAATAGTAGAACGCGCGACTAATGGGAGTGTTAACGAAGTCGAGCGGTAAACACTTATCTGTATACTTTACACATCCATTCTATAATTGGTCAGATATTGTGGTTGCAGTAGTAGGTGATAGGAATTTTCTCGATAGATAAAAAATCCAAAGTTACCTCCAAACCGAACAACAAATCGCAGGTATAAACAAAGTACTTCAAATTAGATCAAGAAACTTATCATGGTTTTCCTTCAAAGGTTTCATGATCGAAATTGAAGTATTTTGTTAATAACAGCGATTTATTATTCTGATTAGAGGCAACTTGGGATATATTTTCTATCGAGAAAATTTTATTCGTGTTTTCGTGTAAAATAGTACTTAACATTAATCCTCAACTTTACCATATATTTATTTTAAAATTAATGCTGCAGTATTTTCGGCATAACGGATGCTATCCATCATGCCAAGCCATTCGAGGTAGTATAGGCTATTCAGTATTAGCGTAATTATAATACATTAACACTAGTGTATGACAAAAAAGATATGAATGAAACTCAAATCACATGAGGCCTTAGGTACACATAAGTGCGCCACATCATCGAACATCGTTTACAGATAATTATAAAAAAATACTTTATCTCTTAAGATTTATTATCCACTGAATATAATATTAGCTCACGTGAAAAAGCCAAAAGAAAACAAATATAATAAACAATTAAAACAATACCCATCAAATGCTTTACACAAATTAAAATTCTGGATAACTATATACTTACTTGTATAGACTATTTACTTTTTAGTTATCACCAATACAAAAAGCAGTGAAGTATTACAAACAACAAAGCACGCAATTACAGGCGAAGCAATACACAAAACAGATATATTTAATATTCGTGATTGAGCCATGCTGCAGCTATATTATAGTTGTAGCACAAATCGGTCGGCTCGACCGCAGGAGGACCACGCTCTCACACAATACCAAAGCCTGAAATAGCACCTCCATGCTGCTGTATTTCCTATGGTGAGTGTAGAGAACCTGGGACGCATTTTACTGGAAACGAGGCATTCCTCAGGGTTGACGGCTCATCTGCATTTTGATTCTTAATCGAGGATAAATGTAGATGTCTATGAGCCACAGCATCCACTTATCATCAGGTGGACTGTGTGCTCGTTTGTCACCCTTATCCCATAAAAACGATGTAATTTAAAATTCCTTATTATATTTATCGTTGGCGTGATTTACTTTGATCACAATCGAATAATTTAATTTCTCTATCCATAAAAAACACTAGATTAATATTTAATACCAAGCAAAATAACAAACAAAATAATACAAAACTAAACAAACTACATAAACTGTTCATACAACGAACGACACCAAGAATTAAGTACGAAATCGCAAGAGGGTAGTTTTAAAAATAAAAACCTAGTCTCAATACTGAGGAGAGAGTTGGCGGGTTGTAGGGGGGCGGAGGGAGATCGCCTCAACAGCAAAGCGGAACTTTGCAGGCTCATTGACAGGCCTTTGCGCCACAAGCTCTTGGGTTTTATCTGTGGACTGCAAAATGTATTTTCCATCGTCAGTATTAAGTAGATAATAATGAGACATGTTTCGAATATAGTTTGTTAAAATATCGGTCAAAATTAAATATCATTCACTGTATTTTTATTTAATTCAATAAAGTTTTGATAGACAGTTTATCTGTCTAAACACCGAAATTACATAAAACATTATCATTTATCACATTTCAAACTTTAAAAAAAGGTGAAGTAGTATTCGTTAAAAAAATACTAACACTTTTTGTGTAATGTTGTTTGTAGAAGAGAAAATATAAAGAAAATGCATTGTGTTGGGTTAACCCTATTCCACAGTTAGTGATGTGGCACATATTTTTCATGATTTTCTACACGAATTTCAAAATTTAGCTTTCGCCAAATTTGTAATGTGATATTATAGGGACCTAATATTTAGTTTAAGTTAGTTATAACCTAAGTGTTACCTGTAACCTACTTTAAAAATATGCATGCTGTGTTCGTCTATAAGTGTAAAGCAGTTGTAAAGCATATTATGGATATGACTGTGGTAATTAATGTCTTATATAACTATTTCACAAGTATTAATGAATCTTAATATAAAAGATGATATTTATTTGTTTTTTCATTTATTTACTCGCTGACGCAAAAGACCAGCTGGGTTAGTTAAGATGACTTTCCACGATAAACGCCATAGAACACGTCAGAAAACTATGAAAATGACATATCGGAACGTTAAGTCATGTGACCATTACGTGATTTATTAGCGTTAATTTGATTCATTTTTACAGTTTTAACTTAGAATGCCATCTTGGATAACGCCGCAGTACAACTAATTAATTTAAAATTAAGATTGACATTATTCTTGCAGTTATAGTTCTTGCAATTCAAAAAGTCGAGCGTTTACTTGTGGTAAATACGTATCTATAAACTTTACACATCCATTCTATAATTGGTCGGATATTGAGGTTGCAGTACTAGGTGACAGGACTGTTTTTGTGCCTGTCCTCTTGCCTATTTCTATCGCTAAGTAGCCCAGAAGTCTAGCCTGCACTGCCGTGTTCCGGTCTGAAGAGTAGAGAGCCGGTATAATTGTAGGATTTGAGGTATTCCATCTTAGTCTTTAAACACATCTGTAGCTAAGAAGGGCGGGTGACAACGCACAACTTCAGCACGAAAATCTAGCGGTGACCGTTTTTGCGCATAATTGGCCGTATTGCGCATTATTGAATATGATTGGCTGTGCGCATCGCTCGCACGCGCTGATTGGCTCTCCAGTCACATTCCGTCCCCGTACGATAATTCGCAGCTATTCCCTTCACATTTCGTTCAGCGTTAGTTACGTGCCGCGACGAGTAGCCTTCTCGGTTTGAAGTTGGTTACAGGTGCCCATGAAGTACAGTAGCTACTTACGCTAGGTGGACTGTGAGTTCGTTTGTTACTTCTATTTTTAAGTAAAATATTAACAAAATACGGAAATAAATAAAGTCATATCCACACAATATTTTCCTAAATATAATAAGATTCACAAAAAATACGAGCAATGTTTGTAAGATAATAGTTTAAAATAAAGAAATTGTAAATTTTTTTAATTGTTTGTCCACTTGCGCATGCGTTATATTCGACAATCTACCGTGCAATATTCAACCTGTGACAATATTTCACAAAAATAAAATAAACGATACACATGTAATAAAACCATACCTGGTATTCTCATCGTCACCAGCACGTCCGATATATTCGGAGGTGAGCCTCATTATGTGCAGGCTCAGTGGGTTGATGCATTGCGGCAATTTGTGTTCAGCCACGCTAAGAGGCATGCGTTCACCTGCAAAATATTTTTTAAACAAAAGCACAATTAGAATATAACCTGCCGAATCAGTACTTACCTATAATAGTTTTGAGATATTAATCATTGTTATTAAGGCAAGGATTTCCTATGTTAAAACTCAACCACTGCATGCGTTTTTGTCCAACAAGAAATAAGCGTGTAACATTTGGTGGACGCAAAATGATGGAAATAAGGAATTAAAATAAAATGTAGCTGATTGTGAATCTAATGCAATAATTGCCTTTCAAATTAACGAAAAAATAATACATGGTTATAGCTCGAAAAAAAAAACAACGATATCTCTAACAACAAAGTTTCTTTATAAATTATTTTAAAATTCATACGAATAAGAATTTCATTAGATATTTCACGTATACGCATATTTTTCCGGACATATACTGTTTCAAGAAGTATCGATTCTCGAACGTCAAAATCGTGTCATAAATTCGATATTTATTTAACCTGGTCTTAAGTATAAGTTAAAATCTCCCTTATTTCAACGCATCTGCAATTCCCCTGGTGTTGCAGTTGTTCACGGGCGGCGGTAGTCACTTACCATCAGATAAGCCGTATGCTCGTTTGCCCCCTCTCCTATAAAAAATATATTGAACCTTGAACCGTGTAAAATTAGTGCACTCGCTTCGCTCGCGTGCTAACTCCACACGATTCAATAATCGGTTACTTAAGTCCCTTGTATCGTAATGTACTATTATTTCACTTAATTTTCGAATTGAACTAATTTTAAGGATTTTATCGAGTTTAATTTTAACTTTCTTTAATCCCCGATGATTCGGGTGTTTTGCAGCACCTACGGTCTCGGAGGGACTGAGTTTTTTTTTATAGGATAGGGTGACAAACGAGCACACAGTCCACCTGATGGTAAGTGGTTGCTGTGGTCTATAGACATCTACATCTATCCTCGATTACAAATCAAAATGCAGATGCGTTGTCACCCGTGAGGACTAAGATGGAATGCCTCGTTTCCAGTAAAAAGGGTCTCCAGTTCTCTAGACTCACCATACGAAACACAGCAGCATTAAGCTACTATTTCACGCTGGTTTTCTGTGAGAGCGTGGTCCTTCCCCGGTCGAGCCGACCTATTCGTGCTACAATTATACTATTGATATAACTGCAGCATGGCTCTACCACTTAAAGTGTTGAGTTGAGTTCCCAAGGGATTGCTATAAGTTTGCAGGTGGATGATGGATATGGGTTATGTGATGTGTGGTGGATGATAGACGAGCAATGATCATGTACGACAATGAGGAAGGTACCGGTGTCAAGGTTGAGCACGGTGACCTGCTCCAGTATCTCGATGTCGGACAGTTGCTGGCCCGAGGACGAGCGAGTGCGAAGTGTCGGACCTGGTGTCGGAGAGTCGCCTGCAGATCTACGACGTGTCCGACCACCTTCCGGTCGCCTGCAATTTTTTATATTGCTGCTTTGACGACGGAGTGATGTATGTACAATGCTATATTGATGAAGGATATTTTATATCTTAGTACTTTAATTCAGCATTTCTTGTACAGGGTTATTTTTCAAAAAGTAGCCAAATCTTAAACTTAATTTCAAATATTATATAAATAATGATTTTTGCAGTTTTTGAAAATACGCGTTAATAAGGCTTCTACTTTTATTTGAAATTATCCCAAATTGCATGTGAATTATGGGCAACAACGTTTTTGCCTACCGATCGACTCTTACGAACACAGCGTGGGCAGTAAAATCAGTTTAAATAATGCATTACTTCGCATTTTGAATTTAAAAAAGACAGAATATTTGAGATGTGTTTAATTAATATTTATTATATAACTTATTCCGAAACTTCTCTGCAAAGGAGACGGTCCATTTCAGCCCCAATATATGTACACTATACAGTAATAAAGCGAAAAACTCCGGAGCGTTTATTAAAAATAAAATAAGAGAATAAATCAAACTAAATAACTTGCTAAAAATAAAAATTTAATCCCAAGTTTTTCACGGTTACACTGGTAAATGCAAATGACGTCATCAATTAACATTATATTGCACTGGCGTGCCGCCGCCATATTGCGTCGGATATCCGGCCACAATAAAAAAATTTTTATTGTGTGTGCGCTAAATGAAGCATGCCAGAGTTTGTTTTTATTTATTCAAATACAAAAAATTATAGAATAATTGCTGGTATCTTCATTAGGAAGATATAATGATTTTTGGAGCACAAAATGACAAAATAATCGCCATCACTTTTCCAATATGGCGTAAATGTATGACGTCATATACTGTCCTATGTTTTGGAACGAATCACCATTATAGCGTCGATTCATGACGTCATTCGCATTCGACAGTGTACTGAGTTGTATTTCGGAACATACCCATAATGTAGGTATATAGTGTGATATTTTTATTTATTCCAAGCTTGGTCGTGTAGTTGTGAACTTGTGAATGCGTTTATTGTGTTTCTGGTGGATTTCTTTGGCGGTTTGGTTTCGGTTTAGTGATTACAAAAAGACAGCATTTCAGATTTCAAATAGCCATCAATAAATGGATCAATAACTTCATGACAGTTGACAGTTAACGTTAAAACAACATCTATCACTGAAATAAAGGAAAATTCGTGAATTTGAATAATCAAAAGTGGTTTAATATTTAGTTTCAATTTATTCATTTACTAGTACAAACAAGGCCTACGCTACATACAATTTTAGAATGTCTCATTAAGCCGGATTGCAAAAAAACCCTGTACATGTTACAAACCAAGTGATTAGTTATTCACAATGCCCGGGACACTATGAGTAATGCCCAATATGTGTAGGCAATGTGATAAAAACTATTGAAATAATTGTTATTGTAAATGTTTTTTATGTCATATATTTTAAAACACAATAGGAATAAAGTTTTTCATCGAAGGTATTTTTTTCTTTGTAACTCAAAAGAAAGAATATCCCATTGCCGCTATTCGATACTGCAAAGTGGCTTTTTCCTTCCTTCACATTTTTACACTTGTTTATTTCAGATTTGGTACATTATTAACTTATTGTCTTGAAAATGAACATGGTTAGGTTAAGTTTGGTTATATCAAATTGCCCAAAAATTGCGTACGTAGCAATATTCATAATGACCACACAATGTGGTTAATAATGAAGTTTAAATCAGTATTTTTTATAGGATGGGGTGTCAAAGGAGCACACAGTCCACCTGATGGTAAGTGGTTGCTGTGGCCAATAGACATTACGAATCAAAATCAAATGCGTTGTCGCTGGCGAGGACTAAGATGGAATGCCTCGTTTCCGGTAAAAAGGGTCTCCGGTTCTCTACACTCACCATACGATACACAGCAGCATTAAGCTACTATTTTACGCTGGTATTCTGTGAGTGCGTGGTCTTTCCCCGGTTGAGCCGACAAATTCATGCTACAACTATACTACTAATATAACTGCAAATGATTACATAGCCCGACTTAACTTGTCATTATTCATATTACCTGGGTATTATATATAGTGCCCTGATTAATTACTTGGTTCATTATACATAATATATAATAATAATGTGCTTCAGACCGAATTTCGGTCACGGCCGCCTGCAGCAACGGAGGCTAGCCTTGGGCGCAGGACAGAATTATAGTGCCCAAGTGTATGCGCAAGCACAGGTGCACTCTCTATTCCCTCACTCTCGTAATCCGATGGGACGGTAAACCGACACGACCGGAGAGAAATCAGGCGCAGGACCAACGGCTTTACGTGCTTTCCGAGGCACGGGGGTGAGACACTGCCAACTTCCTAACTCCGGGCAGCTACTGAGAATTTCTAGATAGAAAAACTCAATTGATTTTTGGCCCGACCCGGGATTCGAACCCAGGACCTCATGATCAGCAGTCGCACTACTACAACCACTAGACCAACGAGGCATTCATATAATATATACGTTTTATATGGACAGCCTATAGTCCGTTCGCGTTAAGAAAATAGTGAGTCATCAGTGCAACTACAGGGTAAAGGTGTATTCACAGTGGAGTAAAAATTCTTTTTTTTTTCAAACATTTAATTAAGTTTAATGGAAATAAATTTTCTTAAAATTACTTAAATCACTAATCAGTATCGCTAGATTCTCCAGTTACATTAATTATGAAAGAATTTTGTTCTGCAAGTTCCATGATGTCATCCAAATTCCATATTATGGTATTTTCTTCGCGTATCACGTGGTCGCAGCACTTCTTCCAACGATTAGCTACTATTAATGATATTGCGTCATCTAATAATTTTTTTGTCACTCATTTTGAACGTGGAGTTATTGGCAACAACATATTTTTTTATTTGGGTCCAAATCAATTCAATTGGATTAAGTTTGCAATGGTAAGGCGGTAGGCGAAGAATTGTAATGCCATTACTTTTGGCAGTCTCATCTATTAAATATTTTCGGACACCACATGCACTTGCTGTTTTTATTACTGTGCTCTCCACAGCCGCATTTAAATCACACAGTTTAAAGTACTTATAAACATTGTAAATTACGCGGCTCTCTCCGCTATGGATTATTGATCCACTTTTATTCTTTCGAATAGGTGAGGTATTCATCTTCAAAATTTAACCTGTTAACCAAGCCTAGCTCACCTTCGATCGCGCAATACCAACCTTACGCCCGCCAAGTAGTGATCGAATTAGCTCAGAATTATGTAAACATGTCTACCTATGAAAAAACTATTTTTTCGTTTTAAACAAAACCAAAGACACTATGCAATAGATATTAGTATCAAAGACAAAGATATGCTCTTTTATTTTAAACCATAACCTGGCAATGTTTCTTAGAAAAAAAAAAAAGAAATCACTCTGAACTTCCGGCGTTCCACGTGTCACTTTGTTGAAGGTGCTCCGTCTTTTTTATAGAATTTTATATTTGTGTCTGGACTAAAAACGAAAGTATTATACTTTTTTATATTCCTTGTAATATAGTGAACACATATATATATAATTTGTGGTATAAAAAGTGAAAAGTAAATTGCCAAAAGTGCTTCAAAATCTGGAAGGCCCATTATGGCGGCTAGGTCATAAATGTGGTATTTTTCACATTCTCATTTATTTTTAGTGTAAAATGTAAGTAAAAATAGTTTTCTTACATATTTCAAATAACTTGACGTTGTATTTATTTCAAATTCACACAAAACTATTTTAGAAATATTGTTCTAAATGTCACACAGATAAAATATTATCATTTAATTTTTTTTAATTTCTTTATATTTTAATATTTTGGTATGAGTAACGAATGGAAACACATAAAACATAAAAATATACATATTTCCAAAAAATTTGATATAAATTTCTCCAAAAACAAAAGTGTATAATTCAAATTAGTAGTAATTTTGTCACTAAAATTGAAGTATATGCTACTACTATGCTATACAGGGTAATTTACGTATTTTATTACAATTTCTAGCAACCAAAAATAATTTTATTCGATAGTTTATACATTCAACAAGAATTCCTGTAAGTTTTATCCATAAATATTGTCTCAAAGTGAAAATATAGCAAAATTTGCAATATAGCAAAAAGTTTGCTAACTTACAAATTTTCCCGCCAAAAAGGTCCCGAGTGAACGGGATTATAACATGGCGCGCGCTCGCTTGGCGAACAGGTTAATGTTGAACGAGTAACACGCAAAATACACAAGCGTTTTGTTCGAAGGCCTGACTTCAACTGGTCACTGTGAAGTGTGAACTCGACTTTCTAATTTCTTGCATTTTAATTGGCTGGGGGGCGTGGCCAGGCCGGCGGACAACGATGACTCACTATTTTCTTAACGCGAACGGACTATAGTATATCTTTACAATAAATGAAAAGTCGATTGTAACTAGTTCGATAAAATATTTCAGTATAGTTTTAATTATGTTCTAATGTCATCCATCACAATGTCAAAATTTTTAAACAATACAAATATTTTATAATAAAAATTAAGGTGATACATATTGTATTGTACATAGTAATTAAGAATAAAACTTTATTTATTTAAAAAAGGTTTTATGAATTTTTTTAAATGTGATAACAGATAATATTAAATAATTAAGATGGTATTGTGTAAAAGATATATGATCCAGAGAGTGTGTAACTAAGGTTTTCATCAAAGATATAAATTTTAAGTAAACTGCGATCTTTTCAAGAGTACGTAATGTTAGCCTTCAATAAAATTTCACATTCGATTGGATTAGGTATGATAAAAACAGTGTTTTCTAAAATTACGTTTAGTCGATTTTTGTACCAAGGTGTTAACGCTGTTAAGATGTTATATGAGTAGAGATTTGAGTATGCAGAAATTTCAATAAGTGCGGAATGACGACGGTATTTTTTATGGTTGGTGTTTCCGTTCATTGTATTTTTTTTTTAATTTTGACGGGTGTTGCTTAAAGACGCAAGCAGAGAGTTTTGTGGTATGGCACTCGAGGTACGAGGTCGGAAAAGTGAACCGACTTGGTCGGGTTGTATTGTTATTTTTACCACAATATTATTAACTCCCTTTCGTGTATGTTCGGATCGAATTTATTAATTGATTTTAAACCAACTTTCCGGTGAGTAAGGTATTTGAAATTTAAAACATATGTCAGTTGGATGATAATGTAAGAATACAAAAAAAGGGTTTTATACTCTTTAGTCTGTTTTGAAAACGTGATATATTTAAAAAAATGTAGATAAACTTATTTATTCATATATTAATATGTTGGCAAGTTTTTTTTATATCCAGCAAAAATATGATGAAAATGCTCATGAAAGAAGTGAATATAGTATATACAGATTATATCATACTATTAATAATACAAGTTTTTTTTATTATTTTCGTTATGTACCAGTAAGAATAATAAGCGAACCGCAATTTGTAGTTAGTTTAAAAAAACGTTATATATATATATATATATATATATATATATATATATATTTATATACAAGTGTAAGCGTTGCGTATTACAGTTGTGTACCTGGTTAAGCCGAGGCTGGCGCTGTGCGCGTGCGGGTGCGGTGCGTGCGGCGCGTGCAGCGCGGCGCGGCCCTCGCTGTGCGTGCGCGCCCCGCCTGCACGCACACACACGGTGACAACACGCACACGTGCGAACGTGCACGCACTCATGCGCAAACATACGTGCGCACGCGTGTACATAATGCAAATCCATATCAAATACTAATAAATCACACACTATGGATTAATAAGACGACGCGTCATCTTAACAATATACCAAAAATCTATATAAAATACAAATTAAAATAACCCAATTAAAATCGTATTCAAGCAAAAAAAAAACAACTCTAATCTCTTTAAAACCAAAAATTTAATCCTTTTTTGAATACGGTTATGCTAGGCTCTCCTACCCTTCAAACCAGAACAGCAATGAATCAATGTCTACACATCACTCTTGAACAAACCACCTAAATCCTCCCTCTTCTTTATTAACCCCAAATATCTATATCTACAACTAGACGTTAGTCTTTAACTCAACAACATCTATATCTGAATTGTCTAATTTTATTGTAATGTAATTTTTGGATTACCAATTAATATAAAATCCTAAAAAAGCTCGCCACCTTGACGCTGCTCGCATTTATCTAGATTTAACATTCATACCGAGATAAATTTTAGACTATCAAACTTTTCTTGTATTTCCCATAGTTCTCTCATAAGACATCTATCGCTGCAGGCGAAATGAGGTTGAATTATCTTCCACCGCCACTAAACAGCAACTTACCACAATCTAATGCAACCTATTCAGCATTGCAATCATCAAGCTGGTTTTCCTTTCGTTATCATCATAAAAGTCATTAAAATTAACTGCTAAACAAAATATTAAATTTTCTAATTTTTATTAAAAAAAAAACGATGCCATCCACATGATTTCTCTCTGTCGTCCCTAAGCCACCACTACATAGTCATTTTCCTTTACATTTTAAATATTTAACGCCCACGCTAAAACCAACGCCACTGCAAATATGTGCACCCATAAAGGCAAAATCATTGCAATGCAGTCAAAACATTCATGTGGTCGAAAAAAGCAAAAATATTTATTTAACTTCACAGTCAGGCAGTCAGTCCTTTTTAAAATTTAATACCTCAAATATTTTATTAAGATAATGATTAAATTCCCGCCAAAATACAAAAGTATCCTCTAATAGAAAATAAAAGTAACCTCTCGGTGTGTCGTTGATGTCGTGCGTGGCGTGCGGCGTGCCGGGCCGCTGCCGGCCACACGCGCTGTTCGCTGTCTCGCTCGCCCTTTCGCTCACTCGCTCGCTGGAGCGCGACGAGCGAGACGAACGCTCGCCCTCCCCACTCGCACTCGCTAACGACGCCTCCATTGCGGCTGCATATTTTATAAAAAAAAAACGTTACATTGTTTCTGGTCTATTCCTTGGTACGGATAGTTAAGATAGATGTGGTTCTTTCTCTTGATAGCAATGCACTAATCATTAGTTGGTAAAAGGCAAGTTCGATGCACGCGGCCTTAGTACGACGTGTATAAACAAGAATGTACAGGTAGACCGTACAATAGGTAATCTGAATTCTCCACAATGGAGCAATTATTTTAGACTTTATATAGCAAATAGAATAGCAATAAATAATCCTGTCAACATACATTGGTCTATAACAATTATTATGAATTTAAACTACAATATTATATTTTGCCAGTAATTTAAATTAGTTTTCTTAATATCCCCAAATACATTAAAAGTTTTCATTTTTATAAAAATATATGTTACGGCCCTCAGTTACCCCGACAAAAGTCGACTGGGCTAGGGCCCATAGTAACCCAACTCGACGAGCAACTGAGGAGAGGGCCCTAATGGCCTATGGATAATTAATTTATAACGGCTGTATAAGCAACTTACCGAGCTCCGGAGGTAGTGTCGACCACAAGGTACCGTCAGGGGTAAGTAAATGGTGTGTGTGTGAGTGGTGTAGAAAAGTCTGTAATGTAACCTGACTTCACCGAGGTAATCGTTCAGCAGAACCATATGCGTTTCCCGCTCCACAAGGCGCTCACCGCTATCGGAACTCAAGTATAACGTCACTTAGCACGACTATAATCGGAAGCGATCTCCACCCGGATCACAAAGTTTAGCGTTCCACACGACAAAGCAAAATTCCTTCGTACAATATTAACTACACAAGCCACTCGTCGACGCAAATTAATGTCAATCGAAGTTAAGCTAATCACTCAAAACTCAAAGAAAGCCTTGTTGTCACGTATATTAACGAAATAAGACAACACAAAGGCGGCCATCGTAATGCGGCGTAACAATTCTTATGTAACTCGCGACCTCTAATCGACACGGCCGTCGCGTACAATCGAATATTCTAGACTAATTTCACGACCTCCCACCGGCACGGCCGCAGCGCACAAAGATTCTACTAGACTAACTGGGCATGGTCGACGCCCGCTCGGCTCAACCCGTCAAACCGGTTCCCCGCCCGCGACTCGCGCCTTGCCACGATTTGGCGTAAACAATATATATATATATATATATATATATATATATATATATATATATATATATATATATATATTATTCTACTGCTTAGTATGGAAACGTATCAATGAGTGTCTTACCATATTTAGACTGTGAAAGCTCCAAAGAATCCTGAAACTCTCTGGTCAAGGACTCTATCGTGCTCGCTGGGCTTGGAAGTGCCATGGTTTGGTTCAAGGTACTTGAAAGTGAAGGCTGAAATAAATTTATAAAATGATATTTAGTAAATACGAGGCAGATAAACGTTTAAATTTTAGTAGTTAGCACATTCAAGGTCAATATTTGTTTAAGTCTTTGACAAATCGCAAGATCCGCCTTCGAAACGGAACAGCAGCGCAAGCAAAAATAGGTAAAAAGGTATTTAGCGGTATTTTACGAGGTATAAAGCCATTCTGCAGCTATATTATGGTTGGACCGGGGTAGAATCACGCTCTATCAAAATACCAACGTGACATAGTAGTTTAATGCAGGGTTTTTAATGGAAACGAAGCATTCCATCTTGGCTTCTCAGAGGCACAGTTGAAATATAGGAACAGTACGGAAACTACCTACAAACGCTCACGTATATCTCCACGATCTTTTCAAAAATGTCATGAACGTATTGCGTCGTATACGGCTGTTTGAACTCGGCTTTATCAAAACCGGAGCTATCGTATTTTAAACTTCCTGCTGAGTTTGAAAGGTAAAAATTATTTATTGTTATTGTAATAATCCTTATCGAATTATAAGTACGTGTGATCGATATAATGAATTCGTGAACATATGCGATAGTGGTTAAAAAAAGTAAATCCAAGATGGCGGCTGCAATAATTATCAACTGTTACATCATGGGTGTCATTTTCATGACTTTCGAGGGTGTTGAAGCCGATAGTGCTGCGAAATGTAAATCCAAGATGGCGGCTGCAATAGGTATCAATTCTTTTATCATGGGTGTCGTTTTCAATGTTTTCGATGGTGTTCAAGCCGATAGTGCAGTCAAAACCTGAATCCAAGATGGCGGCTGCAATATGTATCAATTTTTTCATCATGGGTGTCATTTTCATGGTTTTTGAGGGTGTTGAAGCCGATAGTGCTGTCGAAATGTAAATCCAAGATGGCAGCTGCAATAATCAATTTTTTGTCATGGGTGTCGTTTTCAAGGTTTTCGACGGTGTTGAAGTCCATAGTGCTGTCAAAACGTTAATTCAAGATGGCGGTTACAATAGGTATCAATTTTTTCGTCATGAGTGTCATTTTCATGGTTCTTGAGGGTGTTGAAGCCGATAGTGCTGTCGAAATGTAAATCCAAGATGGTGGCTGCGATAGGTATCAATTTTATCGACATGGGTGTCGTTTCTTCCCAGGACAGAGGTTTTTTTGCGAACCAGTGGTAAATGAAAAAAAAGGAACTTTTAATAAGTATTATTTATAATACATATTGAATAAAAAGGTTTCTGTTCCTGTACGGTCACTACGGTTCGCAGCCGCTCATGAGCCCTGGCCGCGCGCCACCTGCGGTGTTTTCGTCCAACCGCGGCTCGCGTACGCTTCCGCCAAAACTTGTAAAAGATTACGCCGTAATGACAAAGTTAAAGATCTATAGTTCTACAAGCTGTTGTATTAAATTAAATTGTTTTCCGTGTTTGAACTATTGTCTTTTGCTGAGATTAACCGTCGGCATGAGATTAAATATTTAAATTGTATTTGTAAGCTAATTATTTAAATTCCATTGATTGATCACTACAGAACCAAATGTAACAAAAATATCAAAAACACAAAAATTCACAACCCTATTGATTGCATGGAGCGTAGGTAATTATGTCATAACTTATACATACGTACCTGTCAATGTCATACTTTATGGGCATGCCGACCTAATTATAAAGTATGACATTGACAGGTACTGTCTGTACGTAGACAGAGCTGTCTACGTGTCTGTACTACTAAGAAATTCAGGACTTCATAGGCGTGATTTTTACTGACTGCTGTCGCAGAGATCAAGCTATCTTTTATGAACCATAGGCTTAGTTTCCTTACTGTACATATTTATACTGTGTCAGAGGTGGCATCTGCATCATGTAACTTTTTTTCTATAAAAAACCTATGCAGACGAACTGCTTTGTAGTTCTACAATTTTTTTATTTAATCACCGTGTAGTGGCGGTGTAAGAATATTTCATCACGTGGGTGTTGTAAGAGGCGATAGAGGGAACCGGGAGATGGGCAGCAGCATCTTCCTAATAACAACTCAAAATATATAAAAAACTGCGGGTACGACCTGCTGCCAAGCGTGGCAACAATGACAAAATCTCCTCATGAGGCAATCTATGGCTGTGATTGATGACAATGGTACATTTAAGATAGAATAGATAAGAGGCTGTTCTATAAAAATCAGTTAATATAAGATACCTGTACATGTAGATCGTCGAGTTGTGGCTTGTCCACTCGTCGAGGGTAGCTTGCAGAGTGTGCGATGTCACGTTCATCCCCCACGACTGGGCACTCGCCACCGTCCGTCGACAGTGAGTCCGAGCTGTGCAGCTTCTCTGCACATATGAATCATGCTCACACCCCGAGGACTCCGCACTCTACTAGCTAAACTACGTGACCACCACGCTTATGATCTCCTGGTAAGTCTCGGACTGATACTCTCTATGTGCCTCCGCTACGCTTATGAACCCCTGGTAAGTCTTGGATGCTAATTACGTACTCCTTACGTGTTTCCACCACGCTCATGACGCTCTGATTATGTTTCAAACTACAGTATCTCTCTATGTTCCCCCAGTTGCCTCCACCAAGCTCATTAAACCCTAGTAATTTTAGGACTACAATCTCTCTCTACGTGATCTCTGGTGATCCCCTTGTACATCTTACGTACAACATCATGGACTTCAATCTCTCTCTAAATGTTACTACGAGCCTCCACCACGCTCATGATCCCATGGTAAGTCTTGGAGTTCAACCACTTTCTACGTACCTCCTACGAAAATGATGTTGCCTTGGTTGGTTTTAACCCCGTCGATAACTTCCGAATACTGTCGGAATTTATTGCGCAGGAGACACTAGGGCCATGAATATTATAACCACAGAAATCGTAATAATAAGACAATAGAAGTCGCATCGCGACCTTGTCGCCGCTCTTATGTGTTGACAAACATAATTCACTACTTTGTGATTTTGTTGCGCGGGCAACGTAGTATGTAAATTTATGTTATTATTATAATGGTGAACTGCAGCACAATAGTAAAAAAGTAGTAAAAACTCATCAAGGACGTGTAATTCAACTAATAAAGGCATACAATTTCATATTATCATTGTTTTAACTAATTTATATCTCGATGAATACTTTATTATGATATTTACCTTTGTAAACTTTCATTTATTACTTATTGTATTGACAATTATCATTGCTGCTTTTGTTCTACCGTAATCCGCGACGCACGCGACATTGACAAACTCGCCAAGAAATGTAATAATAAACATTAGATATCTTTGTTGTACATTGCGTATGTTTATATAATATATATAATACGGCTGTAGGTGGCGACATCGGTTTTGGAAGTAATCGAGCGCTAATTCATTTCTATTGTCTTATTATTACTATTTCTGTGATTATAACAGATAGGCTCTCACACATCCTAACTTACTCAAGCTCTCGATGTAACACAAAAAATTAAAGACATGATATGATGTTAGAGACATAAAGACAATAACAAATAAATTATAGAATGAGACCAGAAATATATATAACAATTTGAATTTTTGCATCAATTTTGTTCCTGCTAAAGTCTCAGCCGATTTTAGCTGTAGTGATGATTTTAGATTATATTACTCTAGTGCAGGGGTCTCCAAACTTTTTAGTCTAAGGAACACAATGACTCCATTAAATCCTTCGGGCACTACAGTATGTCGTTATGATAAGTTAGATAGTTCTTTCTCATTCGTACGACTCAACTCTTATAACGATATACCGTAATTTTGAATAACGCATACATTTTCATTTCAGTACTTTGTCCTTAGAATTATTGTCTGCTTTTAATACTTGAAGACCTCTGCTTTGAAGACTTTTATAGACGTTTGAAGAAGACTTTGCTTAGTAATCAAATAAAATTGCCATTTAGACGTGGTTTTCAAGTTAAAATCCCAGCCTGATCCAAAATTTGTGCAAAAACATATTTTTCTGGTCTGATAGCTTTTATCCTAAGCTAATTTCGATCTTATCAAATGAAAGTTACCTCGGACATGGGTAGTTTAGGACGAGTTAGAGCCTCTATGTTTGCGTACACTTGTGACACTATAGCAATTCCTGTGCAGTATATTTCAGGGATTGAGGCATGATCAAAAATCAGTAGTATAGTGCAATTGTATAACTCTGATGGCAATCGTGGTTGACTTCGTTATGAAGTTTGACATTTGGTCTCAATGTGTAGGGTCATAATCGATTATAAGATAATGTCTGTTTAATATTTATATCTGATTTAAATGTAAAAATATTATCATAAAAAAATATAACGCAGTTGCGAAGTGATTCTTATCGGCAAGCTATTCCTCCCAGGGTTACACAGCCGCACTGCAGGAGAGTATCATCACCATGGTGACATTTCCGTTTACGACATGGCAGTTATGTGTCTAATGTCCAAATACAACAAACACTATTCAATTTTAAAATGTCGTTAAGTATCGTGGTGTTAGAGTCACTTTGATTTAAAGTGAAAAAGACAGCATGAGACTTAAAAGCATTTTAAAATTGAGCAGCGTTTTAGTACGTATGCATAAATTGTGTAATCTAACCTCTAATACTTTCTACTCTGTGATATTTCTAATACGTCATTATACCAATACTACAATATATACTACAATTTATTTATGACAATGTAAACCTTTATATTAAACTGTCTTATCTTGTAAACAACATTTTTTTCTTCAATCTATAATGGAATTATTAATATTAGTTAATAATATAAATGAATATGTAAGTATTAAGTTCTAATAACTCTTTTAAGTTTTGAAAATATGTGTGACCACTGGTATCTACTCTTTGTAATATGCGTTTCACACCTAATATAAATTAAGTTGTTTACAATTGAAGGCAGAAAAATTGACTTTACTTAGGGTAGTTCAATTCACGAAGACGCGTCACACTAACTTTTGTGGAAATATATTACAACTAGAGCATTTTTCGCGTTGATTCATTAACTTAAATATTATATAATATTAGTGTGCTTTGCAAACATATTAAACTTGTGGTAAGTCAGACTATAGTAACTTACAATACACACACGCACTCTAGCAAATTTAGACAAAGTATAAGACAGCGTGAATTAAACTATACACACTACTCAAACCCTCCTCTATGATGTTACTAATATACTGAAACATACACTTGGTGACTGTTCATACTTACTAGCAATACATTATTAAAAATTTATTAATATATTTTTACATAAGGTACTCTAAAATACATATAAAGTAGTAGTGGTTTTATATAATACACGGAGAAAACTATTAAATTATGTCAATTTTATTTTAATATTCACTCTGAAAATACCTCACAATAAGCCACAAGATACTTTTTTTTACAAAATGTATAATTAAATTCAATGATTTTTTTTCAAGCATTGATGGATTATTTCTGGCAGTCAAATGCTACACAAAATAATGAAATCAACTTTATTGATTTCGTGTAGCCCTAGATTTTACGTTTACTTAATCAGGAACGGACACGTACAATATTTTGAAATATGTTCATATAAGAAAATAATTATATCTATCTATAATCTAGCAACTCTAATCTACTACTAATGTCATGGGTGCACCCATAGTAAGGCCAACGAGATGAGATAAAGAATGTAAGCGCCTTGACTTGATCAAACTTCGTTTTCGATTAATACCGAATTGTTCGGTATGTCAGAGGGCTTAAAAACTCAACATTATTTTAGAATTCGATTCGATTTTAATATAAGTTAAAGTTAAAATTAAGCGCAATGAATTCCGTAAAATTTGTTTTATTCAATCAAAAAAAAATTGTAGTAGTATTCACGTACGTAAATATTAGTAATTTCGTCCAATTTTTTTCAAATTCAAAAAAAAAATTGACCAAGTATATTCGTTAATTTCGTCAAATACGATCTGGCAGCCCAAGACAACTGCGAACGATTGTAGGCCAGAAGCGGCTATCGCTAGGTAACTTATGATACAGGAAAGTGGTCGCAGATGGTGGTCAATATTTAAGCAGATGTTTCAATAAAATTTCTTCCCACATAAAATCATTAAACAAGTATTAGTGATAGTAGTTATTTTATCCCATTTAGTCTGCTCAATATTGGAGCAGTTTGTCGTTGCTCCAGTGCATTCATTCATTACAGTCCTTCAAGATTGCGATAGAGATAAAATATTTGCCAAAGTCGCTAAACATTATGTTTTCTTTAATATCCGCGCTTTGTTCGGTTTCATTATATGTTGTTAATACTTTCTGCTCTTTGACAACATGATTGATATCATACAATAATATGTTAATGCCGTTTTGTCTGATTTGAAATCTAAAGAAATTAGATTTGTGAAGTATAGGAAATTTTGAACCAAAATAAAATTGTCTAAGCACCCCTGACAATTTACATTCTTTATCTCGTCTATTTGGCCTCGTAATATTCATGTCTACCAGCATGTGGAGGTCAAGCCATCGTCCCGAGCATACCGTGCGTGAACTCACTGCGCTTCTTCCTCCTCGGCGGCGCGACGGGCTGGTTGGTGGGCGAGTGGTGTTGGTGTTGGGCGGGCGGGTCGGGCGGGGCGGGAGACACGGAAGACACGGCTACCACGGAGGCGCTGTGCCGGTGCTTGAGACTGTTCGCCTTCGTGCTGGCTATCACGTCCGGTTCCGACGCCGTCAGCGCTTCCAAACGAAAACACGGTCCAAGCTAGCCATGTGTCAATCGTGAATCACTCGTTCATTTGACCCGGTTCATTCGATTCGCATAAAAGTTTTGATAATTGAAATCACATATATTGAACGATGCGGATCAAACCATTGGCAGCACATATCCTGTGACCTATGATTGACTGTTTTTTTCTTCTAAATTTAAACGTTTAAGCATTTCGCGAATGGGCTTTTTCTATTTAAACCAAAATGATCGATTTGAATGACCGCACGACCGAATGAATACTTGAACGATCGGGTCACTAGAAATAAACGATTGACAAATGTCTAGTCCAAACACAACACGGTAGTTCCCAAAACGCCACCGCATTCTTCAATATACTAGTCCTTAGAATTATTGTCGACAGCAACCACGACAACTTCCGAATATTGGAAACTGTCAACTGCCCTAGATGTGATACAGCCACGTGTATTTTAGAAACAGGGATGACAACTAAGCACATGATCTACCTGATGATAAGTGGACGCTGTGAAATCCCTACATCTAACCTCGATTAAAATTTAAGATGCAGATGTGTTTTGACCTCTGAGGATAAACGCCTCGTTACTAGTCAAAATGGGAGAAAAAATGCAGCATTGTATGCTGTTTCATAAAGATATTTTGTGCGAGCGTAGTCCTTTCCCGGTCGGGCCGCACATGGACTCAATCGTCCCAACCGACCCAAGCCCGATTTAACGTATAAAATCTGTGAGGTCCAGGAAATCAAGTTGCAGTGTCATAAACACAGGGAAATTACAATATAATCAAAGTTTTTGCACAAATTTTGACTACAGTTAAAATTGAAATTCTGCTGACCACTCGACCTTTGGGACCATTTGGGGCTTTCAAAAAATCTTGTGAAACATAGCGGAACATTGTCGAGACTAGAATACGAAATTTACGAAAATCCTTTATATATTCTAATGCTAAACAACAAAAATTAAGGTCTACGAACTAGACGATACGTGCATTTTGTATTTGCGTCACTGTCAAATTAACAACTTCTATTCGAGGGAGTCTAACCAAGTTTTCCTAAAAGCAGGCAACAACGAGAACACACGGGGCAGTCCAGCAGTAAACTGTAGATGGAAGATAATTATTGAAACGGATATGCAAAGGATCTAGTGTTCCTTCCTGTGAATTTTAAAATCACCCACACTTTTCCGTTATCATATACGACATTTGAAATGTTCAATAAGAGATTTATTTTAAGTTAAGTGATGAAATCACCCACGATTTTATTATTTGTAGAAAAGCTATTTATTATATACAAGATAAGAATAGAATTGTGTTGTTACGCTTCATTGACGCTTCACTGACATTACACTTCGCATAGCGCACTATTATACAGTCCGTTCACAGTTTTTTTTTTACCTCTGACATCTGTAATTGTATTTTTTATAGAAAAAGGTTGACAAACGAGCACATAGTCCCTCACGGCAAGTGGTTGCTGTGGCCCATAGACATCTATATCTACCATCGATCACGAATTAAAATGCAGATGCGTTGTCATCAGTGAGGACTAAGATGAAATGTCTCGTGTCCAGTAAAAACGGTATCCGGTTCTCTACACTCACCATACGAAACACAGCAGCATTGAGCTGCTATTTTACGTTGGTACTCTGTGAGAGCGTGGTCCTTCTCCGGTCGAGCCGATCCATTCGTGCTACAACTATACTATGAATGTAGCCGCAACATGGCTCTGCCATGTATAAAACGTTTCTCGCTAGGTTGGCATTACTTGTTTTCAAGTACTGCAGGCGTATTGAAAAGCTTGTCGGATTTTTCGGTTGTGTCAAAATTGTGCTATTAGTGCGCAAATTTTGTGAACAGGAGTTTTATAAAAAGTTAATAAAGGCCCAATAATTTCATTTGAAAATGTTCTCAAACGGGTAGCAGCCATGGCAGGTGAGTAAAATAGTGTTACCTGCTATTCGTATTTTTCATTGAGCTATTATGTACTACGTACTAGAGGCGACACTGCATGTAGTTACACTGTTCCACTCAATTGCGGTGTTAGTGCTTAAGTATAGGACGAATATATAATTATGGACATTTTTTTTTTTGTAGAAACATATATAAGTTATCATAATTAGACTACATTTATTATATTTAAATCTGATCATTATTCTTTTCTTTTATTTTTAGGTTTCCACATGAAAGTAAAAGTCGAGTCGAATAAATTCGTCCATTTTTAACTCTCGCGTGCTCAGCATATATAACCGACTCTTATTCTAAATTTAAATAAATATATTTGTAATTTAAATGTTATATTAATAAGTTTTGTTAAACATACATTTAGTATGTTTTTTTTTATATTTGACATAGTTACCTTTTAAAATATACAGATAAAAATATAATTAAAATGTAATTGTGACATAATATTAAGTAATATTATATTAAATAAGCAAATATAATATACAAAATAAATGACAAAATTTAAAAATGGACTCGATATAATTTACCTATTTAACAATACAATCTACTATTACCTACTGATCATACTATGTTTATTCTATGATAAAAAAACGAACCGCGCGAACACAGAGTAGCGCACATTTTTTGTTTGAAATAGCTGTTCTAGTACGTAAGCTTTGACTAGAGAAAAAAGAAAGGACATGACATACCTACGAAAAAAACGTGTATACCTAAACTGAGTCTGGCACAAAGATGGCGGTTTGACGTAGTGCTGCACACTATACTTAATATCGATAATGTGGCGCTTATTTAGAAAAAGATTCTTTCGTGTGATTCGTCTCAAACACACGTGTGTTCTTAGATAGGTTTTTTTTTTAAATCAATATGACGGATTTTTGGCGCAAAATTGTAATTTCTTAATTTTTTTACTCAACCTATCGATAGGGGTATCAAAATGAAGGAAATTAAAAGGAGATTGCTGAAATATATTATAAGTTATACCTATGTTTTCAGTTCATTATTTTAGGCAGTCGTTGTTTTTTGTTTTTATAATGTAATTATCTATTATTAATGTTACAATTATTTCCTGGGAATTACCAGTGGCGTAGCAAAGGGGGGGGGGGGGGGGCGGGGGGGCCGCACCGGGTGTCACCTTTTTTGGGGTGACACCCACCCGGTCTCTCAACTTTAAGAACAATGTACAAACAAAAAAAAATCGCTAGCACAAAAATTTCTTTTTCGGGGGATTCCTACACTAGCACTAGCTCAGCTCTATGTACAATTCGGGGATTCCCGCAAAAGAGCCTGACGCCGTCGTGGGGGATTCCCCGTCTCATACTCGCAATCTTTGACGTCTCAGTTGCAACATTTCTCATTTGTTTCGTGAAGGAAGCATGTTGTGTGTGATTGGCGTGAATTGTTAAACGTGTATTATTCTATAGTGATAGATAATAAAAAAGTCAAAGCTAGAAAGAAGAAATTTTAATTGTATAGGTAACAATTCCTTTTCTGTCTTAGTTATTATTGTGTTTTGTTATTTCTTCAATATTATAAATAATAAATGATCCATGTCCTTTATCATATAAAATTTATTGCTTTTTACTATCGATGGGGTGACACCACCAACTTCCGCCCCGGGTGCCACCCAAGGTAGCTACGCCACTGGGTATTACTTAATAAGAAATACTAATTGGAGAACTTTTGTTTGTTTGTTAGACAATAATTTGGGCTCAGTCATCATACTCACACTAATCAAACTGTAATAAATGCAAAAGTTTGAATGTTTGTATGTTCCTCAATCACGCCAAAATTATCAGAACAGTTTGAATTGTAATAATTTGGCACAGAAATAGTTTATTACCAGAATTAACATATAGGATACTTTTTATCCCGATTTAAAGGTCCCCAGGAATAGAATAAGAAATTTCGTAATAATCGAATTCCACGAGAGAAACATATGAAAATAACACACTCAACTCACTAAAGTCGCAATGACAACTGATATAGTTGTCACTGATTTGGTTACAAACCATGGCGCCCGGCCGCAACGAAAAAATTGTTGCCATATTCGGTAATGATAAAACTACTGTTGTCCTTTTTTACTACGAATATACTCATAAGCTAAAAAGAGACGCCGATATTTCGTTACATTCCTACAACTAACGATTTTCATGCATGTCCTTTCTTTCTTCTCTAGTCAAAGTACGCAAGTACATATTACTTCAATGATTTTGGTCAAGATTCTTGTTACGTTACGTTCCGTTACAATTAGAAATAGTATAACGTCATCTTTTATCATTTATAAAAATAGTAATAATTTAATTTTAATAACGAAATAATTAATTTTTTTTTCAATATAAGCTATAAATACAATACAAAGTCAGTCAGTCAGAAAAGAGGTGTATACTTTAGGTAAATTATTAGCTGAGTTAAAAATTTACTATAAATTTAATATGGGTTATACCACATTATGGAAAATCATCCGACAAATAGGATTTCGATTCGAAAAATATGGATCTAAAAGAACTGTTAATGGAACAACATGACATTGTAGCCTGAAGGTTTTGGGGTAAAATCGTAAGATATGTGTCCATATCTTGATGAAACGTATTTTCACGCTTCATACTCCATGAAAAAATGTTGGCAAACGGTAAATGAAAAAGGCAATATAAAGAGTGATTCAGTTGGTGCAAGCTGAATTATTGTTCATGCATGTGGTGAAATGGGCTTTATACCAAATGCGCAATTGATATTTAAATCACAGTCGAAGTCCGGTGACTACCATGATGACATGAACAGATCAAATTTTATGAAATGGCTACAAGACAAACTTACTAACTAACTTACATATTTATAGCCTAAAAGTTTAATAGTGATGGATAATGCGCCCTATCATTCGCTAAAGGTGAATTAGGCACCAACATTGAGTTCTACCAAAGTTGATATGCAAAATTCGTCACTAATAAGGGGCTATCTCATGTGCCTACTATGGCGAAAGCTAAATTATTCGAAATTATAAAAGAGCATAAAGAAGTTCCAATATATGAAGCTGATTATTTGCTTGAGGCGCACAAAGTGGCTAGTCTATCACCGTACCACTGCGAGTTGAATGCCATAGAATTAATGTGGAGCCTTTTGAAAAGACGTGTAGCTAGTAAGAATGTTGCACAGGAAAAAGATAACAAAGTAAAATTAACCGAAGAAGCTTTACAATCTATTACTGCAGAAGCCTTGCAAAAGCAATGCGAACATGTGCGCCCGGATTTTTAAAACTGATGGATGAATAAATGCTCAAATGGAAAAGTTTATTATAGAATTGAATGCGAGTCTGATACAGTATCTAACAGATCTGATGATGTTCATTATATAGTGACTTATCGACATTCGCTATCCGAATGGATAACTCTTATTTAAAATAAATAGAAGTTATAAAAAAATTATTTATTTATTAGCATAGAATAGACTAAATGTATACTATCTATTATTGTAGAAATGTGCTGTTATTAAAAAAGCTTATTACTAAAATATTTTGTACAAGGGAATCATACAAAACTCGTATGGCAACACAGGGCTCAAGTTAGCCAACTTTATAGCTACAGATATAATAACTATAAACGGACTGTAACTTCAATAGCATTGTCAAATACAATTTTTTTAAACCGTTATTAATTTTATATTGTGACCGCACTTAGTTGTATTTTTCTTAAATTGAACAAATAATAATCTTAAAATGGCGGCATTTCGTGACGGTGTCATGATAATAGGTGTTAAGATAGTCAAGTTGTCAGTAAACACAATCATATCCTTATTCCATTATGCGAACTAATATATTAATTTGAAATACTATTATAAATCACAAAAATATCATTTAATATTAAAATATTATTATAGTCAACCAAATCTAAGAAATACCTTTTGACGTTTCACATTAATTCTTCCGCAATAACTTTGCACAAGCGTAAAACCTTTTACGTAAATCCGAAGAATTATGAAGTTATCTATATTTCATTACAACTTGTAGAGTTTTTATCACTAATTTAAATTCGAATCATTCAAACAAAGCAATATATTAAAAAAATAATCAGTATTAACTTTTTAACTTGACGTTGATTCAATGATATGCCGCTATGTACCTTACTGTAGTGTTTGGATGATTAAAATTCATTGTTATGCGAATAATCGGCAAAAATATTTAAATAATCGTATCATTAATTTATTTAATGTATTATTTTTGTCTAGTTAAAATTTCATTTTTAAAATTCCTTAAATTCAATCACGAATAAACCCAGTTTATTATTTTAACTTTGTCAATGTAAATTTGTGTAGGCCAAAAAACTCATAGGTATACATGACCGCGCTGAAAAAACTACTAAGAAATTTCAATCTACCGCCATTTTGGGAGCTTACTGTTTGTAATTTTGTGATTTTGTGTTTCTTTTCTTATCTTGTGAATCGACTTTAACTTTTTGGACTGTTTCTTCTATATTCGTTGAAGCATGTGTCCATGTTACAAAGAATGATTAGGCAAAAGTGGTAGAAAAAACATAAAAAATTGATTATGGATAACTTTGAAAAAAGACATTAATTTTGACTGCATAATTGAAAAATCAAATAATAATTAATCTAAACAACGACAGCTCAACTAGTTGTACTGAAAGTGATTGAACAAATTTATTTTTAATCTAGTTTCAATCTTAACTTTTTATAACTTTGCCTCTAGAAATAAGCAGTATAATAACAAATATGAAGAAACTGTTAAATCTTGTGTTTTAAATTATCCGTTTTAAATTATTTTGGTATTATTCAAACCAAACTGTATGTGATTACCAATCATTCTTAAAAAAATCGATATAAATAAATAATCTATATCGATTTTTTTAAGAATCGAATATTGTACCATCCCATTTTTTGGTTGGCATGCTTGGTGTAATAAGTCTGACAGCTGTCAAAATGTATTTCTTAGATTTGGTTGACTATAATATTTTTGTGTAACGTAAAAAATAACATCAAGCAAATCTCATGTAAAATAAGTTTGTAATATTTCTCTCACCATTTTGATTCCTACTGTCATTCGGTAAAGTGTCATCAGAAATAGTAGAGGGTTCCCTAGAAGCAGACGGTGCTGGTAACTTGTCACGTAGGTTTGCTGTAATGTAACAATAACTCTTTTTACTTTACCTGTGTAGAGGAAATTACAAGAAATTCCGCGACTAATTCAAAGGCATTATTGTTTTGTTGATTATTTGTAACAACATACCACACAAGCTTCTATTTCAAACGAAAGATGTCACTCATAGTTAAAATCAATTATTAAATTCGAACAAAACCATAAGTTAGTTCGCTAAAGTCATAAACAAAATTGGAATAACATTTGAGAAATCGTAGAACAAAATAACAAAAAAGATAATCTTAAAAAGTAAAATTTAAGAAATATACTAGGAATTGACTTTAAATAGAAAGCTGCATGTTTTTTTTAAATTACGAAAAATTATTAAGAAAAAAATTAACAATTTATTTCTCATGTAATTTTACAGTAAAAATCATAGAATACTACAATACACAATAGGCTGTCAACCTTATTTTGTAGGAGGATGGGCGTCGCCGGGAGCACACATACAAGCACATAAATGTTTTTGACACATAAATATTTCTTTATTTTTGTTGCTAATATTCACAAAGTATAAATAGTTTCGACTCACTGAGTGTATTTTTATTGACCGATTTATACGTGTGAATTGACATGTTATTATTTATGCATTATTATGTATGCATTATTAGTATTCTAAAAATGGTTTAAATAACTTTAAATTAAAACGCCAGTGACGTCATTATTTCGCTTTAGTAACGCCACCGCATGGTGAAATAATACAACACTGATTTTTAAGTTGTCAAAATTAAATTGTCATTGCACAAGATTATAAATCTTTTTTATGATACCTGGTGATCCGAACATAGAAAATAAAAAAGTATAGCTAGAACCGGCGGTCAGACTAAAGAGTCCCCGTAGACTTATTGTTATCACGTTTTTTTTTTGGAACACCTGAGCGTCTCTATATTGACCGTCGGTCGAACTAAAGAGTCCCCATTTCATATACAGCAGGTATAGGGGATTAACTGAAGAAAAACGTGGAGCTTATCAAAATACCGTAAGTGTGCCGCCCACTGGCTCTTAAGGTGACTCTAGTCGACATTATTTCCATAGAAATTTCGGAGGGGTTTTACTCCGCTGTTTGACAGTGTACATCCAAAGTTAAACATGATATCGTTTTGTCAGAATAGTAAAATAAAAGTCATTAAAAAGTTACGAGCTACCAAAGATTCGTTTTTATTGCCAATTTTAACACAACTTTGGGCGTAAATTAGTAATAAAAGCAGTGTAAAATTTCCAAAACAAAGTCGGTACCGACACAGCTCAATTATCGAAGAATTCAATAAATTTTATTGGTAATTGATTCATGCAGTGGTTTTTTTCGTAAAACCCCTCCTTACAAAGGCCTTTTCGTATTTTTTTACGCGCGCGTGTTTATATGAATTATCGTGCATCTCACTGAATAATATTTCCCTCGGTGCGGTGCGGGAGGACGACACTTACACACACATGCATGCGCGGTGACGCGCGCTTATTCTAGTTTTATTCGACTCAGTCAGCTGCGGCCTGTGACGTTCGTATGACTATAGCTATACCTGCGCTCTAAATTACTACGCTACATTGACCCCTGCTTGAACTTTGGATTAAATCAAATTGATATAAGCACAGACAAAAATAGAGGAATATATAAATAAAATTTTGAAAAAAAAACGATCTCAAAATTTTATTAATGTTCCGCTAATTTTATCTGTACTTACCTATGTCAATTTGATTTACATTCGATTATAATTATATTCTCAGACGTGCAGGTTTCCTCAATATGTTTTTCTTCACCGCCGAGCACGTGGTAAATCAGCACAATTGCAATTAACAATTTCATTGGTGCCGGCGGGGATCGAACTCGGGTCTGCATGTCTGAGAAATTAAAAAATATATATTTCGAAGAAATGTGAAGTTCGTCAACACGCATTAAGGCAGCGTGGCGGACATTTCCTTGCCCCCTCTCAGAAATTAGAGGAGGCCTGTGCCCAGCAGTGGGACGTATATAGGCTGTAACTTTACTTTTTTTACTTTTATAAATATGTTATTTTACCGACGAAAATTTTAAAGAAAAAAATAAGCAACCGACAACCTCCTAGGTCCCTAGGTGACTTGCGAGATGTCAGTGTAACAAAACAAAACGGCCCAGAAAAACAGACTTTCCAACTGATAGCTAAATCAGCACGCAACAATTTCATTGGTGCCAGTGGGGATCGAACCCGGGTTACTCCCGTACTGTGATACCTATAACGAGCGCTAACCATGTGAGCTACCACGGCTCTCAACGACATCGTTCCGTTCGTGTACAGCGCTGAAGATAGCAGAGTAAAAAATTAGAGATTGTGGTGTTTGAAATTTGTCATCTGTGAGAGTGAATTTTATCTGTGTACTCTGTAACAAATAACTATATAGAAAAAAATGTGAAAATGACATTTCGCCATTTTTGTTTGTGTACTGGTTAGGAACAGTCAGACCGACAGACAGACAAAAATTTTAAAAATTGTGTTTTTGTTACTAGTACTTTCATACGCATTTAATAAAAATCTGTTATTTTAACATTACAAACAGCCACTTCAATTTTATTTATTTGTAGATATAGATATAAGATATTATTCATATTGGTGTCATTTTAAAGGGAATATCATGTACTATTATAATAATAAAATAATTCTCTCCAGTAAATATTATGCTTTTCTTGTAAAACTCGAAATAACAAATAAATACGATTTCTTAAATTTACGCGAACACTACACATTGAATAAAACTATTATTTACGGATTTTATCGCGTTTAATTACTTTAATTTATTTTTATTATTATCCCGACGTTTCGGGTGCTTTACAGCGCCCATAAAATAAATTAAAGTAAATAAACGCGATAAAATCCGTAAATAATAGTTTTATTCAAATAAATACGATTTATTTTTATATTCCCATATGCTTTATTTTCATCCTTTATTTTTTATTTGACCAATTTTCTTTTAACAAAATTAAATTCTGAATTGGTTGAGCTTTTTGAGAATATTTTTATTTGAATGTTAGGTAGGTACCTATTTAGTTTTTCAGTAGTAATCGTTTTTGCCTACCTACTACTACCTGCCTAAGTACGTCGGTACTAAGGAAACAGTCTTGACGGGTCACTTGTCTTGATAAAAACATGTGTTTACATCTAGTGATATTGTGTGTATATAAAAAAGTAAGAAGACAGGTAAGTATTTTTGGTAAAACAATGTATAGGTAGGCAGAACTAACCACAATTATTATCTAAATATTATAAATGCGAAAGTTTGGATGGATAGATGTATGTTACTCAATCACGCCAGAACAGCTGAAGGTATCTGGATGATATTTAGCTTAGAGATAGGTTATACCTGGTCTGGAATAACACATTTGATACCGTTTATTCAGGTATTTCGTTCCTGTGGGATAATTTTCGAGTTCACGCGTTTGAAGCCGCTGGCAACACCTAGTACGGATATAAATTGCGATGACTGTTCCAGTTCATGCTTCGGCGTCGTGAACTCTTGAGTGATCGCTGCATGACCACCCGGGGAAAACAAAACATAATAAAATAAGCAATCTATATTAGGTATCTATAGAGCCATAGAGGTATAGTATAAAGCGATAACGCAATAATTTAGTACGAGTTTGTAGGTAGGTACTGCTGATTTCTCAGCAAGCGTCGAGCGGCACAGAATAGGGTGGTATGTATGTGTGCATCGTGTTCGTGTAACTTCGTTTTTGTTCTAACGGTTCGGAACGCCGTACGAACAAGACGTGCGTTCTAACTGCTCTTCACTGATACTATCTCTGTCGGGCACGATGCCAGGTGAGACAACGTGCTTTTTGGCCGCGCCCACCAATGAGTTCGAGCCCGCGACTTGTGCCACCTTAAGACCGATTTACACTTCGACAAGTACAGTACCGAGTTTTGTTACAGGGCAGTTGATAGTAAACGGTTAAGTGGGCAGTAGCGTTCAAACAATATCTTCGTGGCGAGTTTAGTTAAGAACATTAGTTCATAGAGTTCGTTGGGGTATGATATTTCAAGACTACAGAATTTTTCCGGTTTTCGTTTAAAATGGTTCTAGGATTACGTCAAGAATTAAATGATCTGGTCAGAGAAGTAAGTTAATGGTTGTTGTTAAAGAAGTTTTTAAGAATTTTCATGAGTGCAGCATTTCGAGCAGGTTTAATTTTACAATTTGAACTTCTGCTATTATTATATAAACATTCGTGTTCTAAATACTCCTGTACGAATTTATACGTGATATCTTCTGTCCATTTTATTATTAAAACTCAATATAAAACGTATAAATATTCAATAAACAGTATTGTACAAATTTTGTGGCGAGTTTCATTATAAAAGTATAATTGTACGTTTTGGCGCGCAAACGTTGCGTCCTGTCAACTTAGGCACTGAACTAAACTCGCTCGTTTACACGAACGGCGAGTTTAGTTGCGGGTGGCGGGAGACGCGCGGGAGGGCAGCACTTCGCACTTAACTCGCCGATAAATAGCTCGGCCGGCTATCCCGTTCAACTTAATCGTTAACTTGCTACTTAACTCGCTTATTGCCGTTCAAACGAGGTTCAAACTTAACTCGCCAGGTTCGCAAGTTAACTCGCTACTGTACTTGTCGAAGTGTAAATCGGTCTTTAAGCTAATAGTAATCACGCTTGACAGGCAGGTTGGTTACCGCAGTTCTGTATTTTGAGCTGCTATGCTGCTGCCCATCGCCTGTTTCAGTTTCCCTACGTCGCCTCTTACGACACCCGCAGTAGGACATGAAAGGAGTAGATACCCTTTCGCCACCACTACATAGCGCTATTATATTAGACGATTTATTTTACCGTCAGGAAAAAAATAGGGTGTAACAGGTGAACGGCATAGAAGCCCGTGGCACTGATATCTTTTTTTTTTTAATTTTACATTAACATATAAAATTGATCAATAAATACTACTAATTTAAAATAAACTTTCGGTACTAAAAATAACAACATTTTTAAACTAAATAAATAAATCAATTAAAAAACTATCGAAATGAAAATAATACGTATCCAATTAGTAGTATTTATTGATAGATCAATTTCATAATATGTTAATGTAGAATAAAATAATTTTTTTAAAATATCAGTGCCATAGGCTTCTATTCCGCTCACCTGTTGCACCCTAAATTTTTATAGACAGTAAAATAAACAGTCACCCAGTATAAACGTAAATACAGGAGCAGTGATAGGCTCGCGATCAAGTCAAAATTTCTACAAGTTTTAAAGAGGGAAGATTCAATTCTTTAGCTTTAAAATAAGCTAAAGATAAAAAGCCGTGTAGTGGCGGTTAAGAATATCCACTACCCCATATCTTCCCGTGGGTGTCGTAAGAGGTGACAGAGGGACACAGGCAGGAGATGGGCAGCAGCATCTTCCTGATAACAGCAACTGTACGACAAAAAAAAACTGCGGTTGCCAACCCGCTCGCCAAGCGTGGCAACTATGGCAATATACCCCCCATGAACAATTACACAAATAGACGGCCCCCAGTCCCCGGCGGCCCCGCTATTCCTGGCTACGGTGGCGACCATGGTAACGGCGGGGCAGGGGGTGCTAAGAATATCCGGTGGAGGTTCGGTTGCCACCTACGATGACTCGACCTGGCAACATTTAACGCACGCACACTGAGGACTGACGAGAAGATCCTGGAGCTGGAAGAAGAGATAGACAAGTTGCGCTGGAGTATTATAGGATTATCCGAGGTCCGAAGAGAGGGGGAGGACACGGTGATTCTCGAATCCGGCAACTTGTTCTATCACCGGGAGGGCGACCATCTGTCCCAAGGAGGTGTCGGATTTATCGTCCACAAGTCTCTCGTCAACAACGTTGTACAGATTGAGAGTGTGTCGACGAGGGTCGCGTACCTGATACTCAGAATCACCAAACGGTATTCGCTGAAGGTCATACAGGTTTACGCACCAACGTCGGCACATTCCGATGAGGAGGTGGAGGAAATGTATGAGGATATTTCCAAAGCCATACATTCCTCCAAAACCCGCTACACGGTGTTGATGGGAGACTTCAACGCAAAACTAGGCACAAGAGAAAACGGTGAGCTGAAGTTAGGGAAATTTGGAGTAGGGCAACGGAACCGAAGGGGCCAGCAGCTGGCCGACTTTATGGAGAAAGAGGGACTCTTTATGATGAACTCTTTCTTCCAGAAGCGGCCCCACAGGAAGTGGACCTGGTCGAGCCCCGACGGTTCGACAAAAAATGAGATTGACTTCATTATGACGACCAGACGCCAACTGTTCAGTGATGTCTCAGTGATCGCAAGGGTGAAAACTGGCAGCGATCACCGAATGGTTAGAGGCACACTGAACCTAAACGTTAAGTTGGAGAGGTCTCGTCTAATGAAGTCAACGCTCCGTCCCCCTCGTGCTCTGATCCAAAATCCCGAAAACTTTCAGCTCGAGTTACACAACCGCTTTCAGTGCCTACAAGATTGCAATGCAGTGGACGATATGAATGACAAGCTCGTGGAAACTGTCCATGCGGTCGGAGCTAAGTTCTTCAAGACCCGCCGCAGAAGAACACAAAAACTCTCCGATCACACTCTTAATCTCATGGCTGTTAGACGGGAGATGAGGCTGCAATCGTCAACAGATTTGACAGCATACAGGCAACTGAACAGACAGATCTCCAAATGCATGCGGCGAGACTTACGCAACTTTAATACTGCTCGTATTAAAGAAGCGATCGAGCGGAACCAGGGCTCCAAAGTCTTTGCCAGAGATCTGTCTGCCAGAAAGAGCCAACTGTCAAGGCTGAAGACTGAGTGTGGCAGCATCGTTTCCGGGACACCTGAGATTTTGAGTGAGATTGAGAGGTTCTATGGGCAGCTGTACACATCATCGTTGGAGCCACACGCAAGTGTGAGTAACGATCCAAGAGCAAGTCTTATCCGACACTATTCCGATGATATCCCGGACGTCAGTCTAAACGAGATTAGAATGGCTCTCCAGCACCTTAAAAACGGCAGGGCCCCAGGCGAGGATGGAATTACAGCGGAGCTTCTGAAAGCGGGTGGAACACCGGTACTTGAAGTCCTTCAGAAGCTCTTCAATTCCGTCCTCCATGGTGGCACTACTCCAGAGGCGTGGAGCAGAAGTGCGGTGGTCTTGTTCTTTAAGAAAGGCGACAACGCTCTCTTGAAGAACTACAGACCGATTTCCCTTCTGAGCCGCGTCTACGTGCTGTTTTCGAGAGTCATTACGAATCGTCTCGCACGCAGACTCGACGACTTCCAGCCTCCCGAACAAGCCGGTTTCCGAAAAGGCTTCAGTACCATAGACCACATACATACCCTGCGGCAGATTGTACAGAAGACTGAAGAGTACAATTTGCCACTTTGCCTGGCGTATGTGGACTATGAGAAAGCCTTTGATTCCGTCGAAATTTGGGCGGTGCTGCAGTCCCTTCAGCGGTGCCAAGTTGACTGTCGGTATATCGAAGTGCTGAAGTGTTTGTACAGTAGGGCTACGATGGCTATCCGAGTACAGAACCAGAGCTCGAAACCTATCCAACTGCAGAGAGGTGTAAGGCAGGGTGAAGTTATATCCCCGAAACTCTTCACCGCTGCTTTGGAAGACGTTTTCAAGCTACTGGACTGGAAAGGATACGGTATTAACATCAATGGCGAGTACATCACTCACCTTCGATTTGCCGACGATATAGTCCTTATGGCAGAATCGCTGGAGGACTTAAGCACTATGCTCAATGACCTCAATAGTGCCTCCCAACGGATAGGTCTTAAGATGAACATGGACAAAACAAAGATTATGTTTAATGTCCATGTCACACCTATGCCGGTAGTTGTTGGGAGCACTATGCTCGAAGTTGTTGACGAGTACGTTTACCTGGGACAAATATTCCGACTAGGTAAGTCCAACTTCGACCGAGAGGTCAATCGACGGATTCAACTCGGCTGGGCAGCGTTCGGGAAATTACGACATATCTTCTCGTCAGGTATACCTCAATCTCTGAAAACTAAAGTGTACAACCAGTGCGTGTTGCCAGTGATGACTTACGGATCAGAGACGTGGTCCTTCACTGCTGGCCGTATGAGGACGCTCAAGGTCGCTCAGCGAGCTATGGAGAGGGCTATGCTCGGAGTTTCTCTGCGTGATAGACTCAGAAATGAGGATATCCGCAGTAAAACCAGATTGACCGACATAGCCCAACGGATTAGTAAGCTGAAGTGGCAATGGGCCGGCCATATAGCTCGAAGAACCGATAACCGATGGGGAGGAAAGGTTCTCGAGTGGCAGCCTCGTACCGGTAGGCGTAGTGTAGGGCGACCCCCCACTAGATGGAGTGACGACCTGGTAAGATATGCAGGAAGTCGATGGATGCAGGTGGCTCAGGACCGTGCTTTGTGGCATTACTTGGGGGAGGCCTATGTTCAGCAGTGGACTTGTGAAGGGCTGTGATGATGATGATGATGAAAGATAAAAATATAGTTAGTAATTTGAGGACTTACGATGTGATTCAGCCGCTCCGCTAAGAATTCTTCCAATTCGTCCAAGTGACGTCATGCTCTGTAGACTCATCGTGTCATGCGATATTATTCTAAAACAATTGCGTTCAGAATGTGAGGCGACATTGTTCTATAAAGGTTTACTTTTGTATTTCGCTTTATATTCAAAATTTTGGAAAATGTGTTAAAACTACTTCTGTTTAATGTATTGTGGGTTCAGTGGTCATATATGCAACTGCTGATCATGAGATCCTGGGTTCGAATCCCGGGTTGGACCAGAAAAAATTAGTTTTTGTGTTTTTCTGTTAAAAAATGCTCAGTAGCAGCCCAGAGTCAGGACGCTGGCAGTGTTTCACCGCCGTACTTCGAAAAAAAAGATTTGCGCATTTTCGCGAACGTTGAGTTTGACGGGATAATCCCAAAGGAAGTATATGTATATTCTGGATGACCTTTTTTACTTCCACCCTAGCCCATGACACAGCGAAGCGACAAGGTCAAAGATGCCTACTAAATTTATTGTTTTGTTCCCGTTCGTAAAGTAGGGTGGATATGATGTGAATTTCGACAGATTTTAATTAATTTATTTATTTAATTCAAAATTTTTGTTTTTATTTTTAGTAAAATATCAGTGCCATAGGCACTCCGTTCACATGTTACACCCTATTTTTGCCAGACGGTAAAAAGGTCATCCAGTATATATATAAGTGGCCTATTATAAACACAACTAGTTTAATATAAATCGGAAAGTTATGTAACCATGGATTGTTTTGAATAGATTAGATATGATAATTTTACACAATATGGTTAAATTTATTTATTAATAAAAGTTTTATTAACCATCTATAAAGCATCACGTGAAAAGGAGGCAGAGGTTGTAGGAAACATTGTATTCTATCTCATTCTCTAAATTCTAAAGATATGTTTGTCTCTTTTTAGTGTCGCTTTCTCGTTTCGAGTTTCAAGTCACAACGATTCTAAAGAATGTTTCACTTCAAAAAACTAACTTGAATGGATGCTCTAGCGTGTAGCCATGGTTGTCCGAAGATAGAGCTATGTCGAGCCCACCGTCGTCCTCCTCTTCCGACTGCATGCAGCGACGCAGCTCTTGAAACCGTTTTCGGCCCTGGACAACCTGCAGATGGCGGAACATAGAATATTATTGTAAAATATTTGACGACTATCATATCCTCCAAACAAATTTGGAACTCTATATATAAATATATTTTATAGACACACAGAGTGACAAACGAGCACACAGTCCACCTGATGTTAAGTGGTAGCTGTGGCCCATAGACATCTTTCTATCTATCCTCGACTATGTCTATCACCCGTAAGGAAAATGGAATGCCTCGTTTCCAGTAAAAAGAGTCTTCGGTTCTCTACACTCACCATACGAAACACAGCAGCTTTAAGCTACTATTTTACACCAGTATTCTGTGAGAGTGTGGTCCTTTGCGGTCGAGCTGGCCCATTTGTGCTACAACTATACTACTAACATAGCTGCAGCATGGGCCTACCATGTGTAATATATCTGAAATTATCAACTATGCACATAAGATTTATTTATTTTTATTTTATTTTAATATATTAATTGTATTCCCTTATAAAACAAAAGATACAAACAATATGCGTTCCATTGACTTTTTTTAATTTGACTGCGTTTTTACATGGGCTATAGTGTTGTCTTAAGACTTGTTTAATCATGCTATTGTCAAATTTATACGTATACCTAGTTAGACACTATGGGGTGGACATAATGCCTAAAGTTTTTTAAAATTCTCTACCAATCAACCCGTGGAGTAGTGAGAATTTGATTTAGAATTAACAGAAAGTTAAAAAAAATTACTGAAATAAATACACTTTATAAGTAAGAACATATATTAATATTATGATATAATATTGTAAATATTATGAACATCTAGGTGGTAAGACCCTATTTCCGTCTAGGAGTCCATCTGAATAGATACAACCCTTTTTCCATATTTCTGACCACAAATAGTGCAAGTATCAGTGTAGTGTTATGATCTACAGAATGATTTTATAAAGAGTCAGTATAGTTACATGCTGTGAGGTAATCCATCACATTCTTTCTTTGAAGTTGGGTGGAGCACTACAGATGGACAGCTAGTACGAGAAAAGGAACCAACTACGAAAACCTTATTTTGAGATAGTATAACTAAAAATTGTATAATTTAAATTGGTATTCCTTGATAATGGTTTGTTTCAATTAGTTTGACATTTTTTTAACATTCTATTGCTGGAACTGTATTTAGTTTATGAAAATATTTTTGGCTCATTTTTTTTTTTTCATCTTTGTATGAGTTGCATAACTACATTCATATTATAAAGTCGTAAGCAATGAGTATCATTGTTGCCCACATAATATATTTATGTCTATATTTAAAACCTAAATACTTATGTAGATTTCAAGAAAAGAAAAGAATCTACCACATAGTCCAAAAATATGTATTTGTGTTTCTTCTCTTCTTTAATTTCTCCGATATCCAGTAATTTTCGATATGTTTAATTCACCGCCGAGGATGTGTTAAATCAGCACTTGCATGCAACAATTGTAGTAGTTCCAATGGCGAATGAATCTGATTTTTGTGAAAGTAAAAAGAGCAAAGTGAAACCAGCTACTTACTAACTTCTGCTGTGTAACTTTCTATCAGCAAAAACAATCAGCGTTTATTGTAATGAGTTTACTAAACCCTGCTTTTTTATCAACTCTCGCCGAACAGAAATTAGAACAGCTTGCTATTAATTATATTTATTATGGAGTTGCGGAAAACAGCCCGTTGTAAACTAAATTTGTATTAAACTAACAGGAAGTTGCTCAAATTAAACAAAATGGACAGTCTTAAATATTAATATGAAAAAAAAACATAGAAAGTTCTTTACTCAAATGAGTTAAATGCAAAACAAACTTGATGTATCCATTTTACACAATAGAGTTACGTACAGCCCTACACACTGCCGCAGGAAGGAATTTAATGTGTGCAGTATCTCACTCATATTTACTATTTCTCGGATTTTGATTAACAGGAATGTGTAATAACTTGTCTTTTGTTTTATAGAATAAGGTTGATAAACAAGCACACAGTCCACCTGATGGTAAAGTGAAGCTGTGATCCATAGACATTCTAAATATATCCTCGATTGAGAATCAGAATGCAGATGCATTTCATCCCTGAGGACAAAGGGTCTAGAGTTCTTTACTCTAACCAGAGCAGCATCAAGCTGCTACTGTGTGTTGGTATACTATAAGAGTGTAATCCTCCCCAAGTCAAACCAACCCATTCATGCTACAAGCATAATATAGCTGCAGAGTGGCCCTTTATGCCCTCAAAATATTTTACTCTTCAAACATATAGGTTTCCTCACAATGTTTTCCTTCCCCAAAAAACATTGTAAATCAGCACTTAAAATTCAAATTAACAATTTCATTAATGGCAGCAGTAACAGAAACAGAAACAGAAACTTTTTTATTCAATGTAGATTATAAACAATACTTATTAAAAGTCAATTTTTTCATTTACTACTGGTTCGCCAAAATAACCTCTGTCCTGGGAAGAACCAGCAAGAAACCCAGCGGGACTATTTTTTTTTTTCAAATAATATTTTACAATCATGTTTACAATTAACAACACAAGACAAATTAGAAATAGCTTGGTAGCGATCACCCTTCCCAGGGGTTATTATCATCCATAAATTCCTTAATATTATAATAACCCTTTTTATACAAACTTAATTTAATAACATTTTTGAACTTTGTGTATGACAAATTTTGTATATTTTCTGGGATTTTGTTGTAAAAGCGTATACATCGCCCCAAGAATGAATTACTGACTCGGTGGAGTCGAGTAACTGGTACTACTAGCTTGTATCTGTTCCTAGTATTTACAGAATGAATATCACTTATTTTTGCAAAACTACGTTTATTCTTGTGTACATACATTACATTTTCATAAATATATTGAGAGGCCAGAGTTAATATATTAATTTCCTTAAATTTTTGTCTCAGTGACTCTTTTGGTTTTAAATTATATATTGCTCTAATGGCTCTCTTCTGTAAAATAAATATAATTTCAGTGTCAGTCGAGTGTCCCCATACGAAAATACCATACGACATAATGCTATGGAAATAACTAAAGTAAACTATTCTTGCTGTTTCAACACTGGTAAGAGTTCCAATCTTTTTTACAGCATATGCTGCAGAACTAAGTCTGCTAGCTAGTTTTGATATATGGGGGAGCCATTGAAGCTTTGCGTCTAGTGTGATTCCAAGAAAAATGGTGGTATCAACAAGACTCAGTTCTTCCCCATTTAAAATTACATTTGTATTAACATGTTTGACATTAGGAGTTACGAATTTCATACATTTAGTTTTAGTTCCATTTAAATGCAAATTATTAACATTAAACCAATTGACTACCTTAGCTATAGCATTATTTACTTCGTCGTAATTTAATAACTGTCGTTTTAAATTCAAAATTAATGAAGTATCATCAGCAAATAATACTATATCATGGTTATCCCCTACTATGTAAGGTAAGTCATTAATATATACAAGAAACAGAAAGGGGCCGAGAATTGAGCCCTGAGGCACGCCCATTTGTACAGTAGGCCCGGAAGAACTCATACTATTAATTACAACTTTTTGCGTTCTGTCACTTAAATATGAAATAATTAATTTAAGAGAATCACTTCTTACACCGTAGTGTTGAAGTTTCCTGATTAATGTTTCATGGTGAACACAATCGAAGGCCTTGGATAGGTCACAGAATATACCCAAAGCATCCTGTGAATTCTCCCATGCATTAAAGATATATTTAATGCAATTAAAAACATAACTTGTAAAAAAAAACCAAGTCTCGCAACTCAGTTCTTCTACCGTAAAAAGATGTGAGATCCATGTAATACCAAGTCGGTTAATTTATTCAGTTCCAACTTAAGGGTGCTTCTGTTTTAAGTTATTACGTAATCAGCTAACTTAACAACATTTTATAGTGACCATATCAATGTTAAGTCTTTTATGTTTTAAATATATAGATTGACTTGGCCATCGCATGAAATCACAATGTATCTCACAAGTAATACGTATTATATTAAATTAGATTGCTTAATGCGACTTCCAAGTCAATCTATATATTTAAAATATAAAAGACTTTTAAATTTGATATGGTCACTATAAAATGTTGTTAGGTTAGCTAATTACGTAATAACTTAAAACAGAAGGACCCTTAAGTAGGAACTGAATAAATTAACCGACTTGGTATTACATGGATCTCACAACTTTTTACGGTAGAAGAACTGAGTTGCGAGACTTGTTTTTTTTTTACAAGTTATGTTTTTAATTGCATCTCATTTCTTTTTGTATATAAGACAGTCCCAATTTTTTATCTTTCCAGTACCTTCTACTTCTTGAGTACCAACAACGTACCTATGTACACCTGTAATACATATACAAGTACACTGGTTCATTCACTGCAAATGTAACTTTGTAATTCTATATATTTATATGGGATTACAAAGTTATTTATGCAGTTAGTGTATCTAGAAAACTGGACAGAAATTAACAAATATTTTAGTTTTTCGTTTTGCATTCTAAATTTGAAGCTTCTATGTCTGCTAGAAGTGCCTTAGAGTTTTGATGATCGGTCAGTCAGTGAGTGACAAAATTAAGAAAGTTTGACTGGTTACAATTCTTAAACTACTGGTTCAAATTGAATGAAATTTGAAATATACCATATCTATACAATGCTTACTCGGTTACTGAAAATTCAGGCTTCTAGTTTTATTGACCACGAAGTTATAGGGGGTTGAAAATGACCTGAATTGCTTTGAGAAAAGATGGTACGGCCGTGCCGCTTTTTTGCTCGACTTGGCGGGGGCACTGCCGTGCCCCCAGATAAGCTCAACACCAGCATCAGTTGTTGAGCGACCCCTTGTGAAACCGAATTGATTTTTATGAAGTAAATTATTTACATTAAAAAAATTAACATTTGATCAAGAATAATTTTTTCAAAAATTTTACTGTTGTAATCAAGAATAATTTTTTCAAAAATTTTACTGTAAGTGTTGGCAGTATAGAAATAGGTCTAAAATTAGCGGGGTCCAATGTACTGCTTTACTATGCTTCATTAAATCAGGAAACACACCAGATTTGATACTAGTATTAAAAATAATAGATAGTTGAGGTGCGATTGCATCTATTATAGATGCAATAACTTTAACAGAAATCCCCCCACAGATCGGCAGTTTTCTTAATATCAATAGTCTTAAAATATTTTAGAATATCTTTTGATGACACTTTATGTAATGTACACGCATTTACATTTTGTTTAAGTAATGATTCGGCGACGGCAGAAGAATTCAGTGACTTAGTGGTTAAGATAGGAATATCAGTAAAATATTTCTCGAAAACCATTGTAACGTCCTGATCTGATTCAATTAATTTATTGTTAAAACTTAACTGATAGTTCGAATTGCGAGGGCTAACCATACCAGTTTCACTATTAACTATACTCCATGTCATTTTAATTTTATTAGAAGCCGTCTTTATTTTGTTGCTTAAATACAATAACTTGGCTATGGAGCACACTCTTTTAAATATTTTGGAATATTTTTTTACATATTCCCTAAATTTGACGCTAGGATTATATGACCTTTCATTATAAAGTTCATATAACCTTTGTCTACTCTTATGGACTCCTACTGTCGCCCACTCATTAAATGCCTTGTGATTGTTCAAGGAGAATGTTTTAGAAGTAAAAGTATTATTAAATTCATTGCAAATAAGCTTAAATAATGTTCCATACAAGAACTCTGGATTATTTTGATATGAAAGTGATGGAAGTTTTTTTACTATGTTACTTCTAAACTTCTCCAAGCGACGTGCATTTACTGGAACAAACACTACTTTTTTATTTACTTGCTTTTTGTGAACATAAGGTAACAAAACTAATTGTCCACAGTGATCAGAGCTCAATTTTTGAATAATACATTTATTGAACGGCTTAACATTTGTAAAAATGTTATCTATACATGTTGCACTAGATTCAGCAATATGCATTGGCTCCAAAAATAAATTAAAAAGACCATTAGATTTAAACAATGATCTTAATTTAATATTGGTGGAGGAAGCTTCTTCTGGGATTGATATTAAAGTCGCCACATATTACAACAGATTTATTCTGTTTATTAAGCTTAGCAAAAACTTCTTCCAAAATTTTTTCAAAAGTATCACATTAATTAAATTATTAATGTCTATTAAATTAATGCTATTAGTATAATTATTACAATTAAATGTCAAATTTAAATTATTGTTACATGACAAATTATTCATTAATAAATTTAAATCATATCTTATTTTATTCTCCTGTGGCCAACCCTGTATGTAAGGCAATGTAAACAAGATAATTTTATGTACATTTAAAGTAGTAATTGCAACTAGACCCTCTCAAAAATTAGAGGCCTTTGCTCAGCAGTGTAAAATATATAGGCTGTAACTTTATTTTTGTTATTGTATAAGTAAGGCATCAGAGGAGAGTTTTCGGAAAAGTATGAGGTGAGGTAGTGCCTGATAATCAAAATTTTTATAATTATATAGATAACATTGTGGGTCTGAGACGTCGTCCTTCACTGCTGGCCATATGAGGAAGCTCAGGGTCGCTCAATGAGCTATTGAGAGGGCTAGCTTGAAGATTTGTCAACCGATGGGGAAGAAAGGTTCTCAAGTGGCAGCCTCTTACCGGTAAGTGAAGTGTAGAGCGAGCTCCCACTAGATGGAGTGACGACCTGGTAAGATATTCAGAAAGTCGATGGATGCAGGTGGCTTAGGACTGTGCTTTGTCTCATTCCTTAGCTATGCTATGTTCAGCAGTGTAATTGTGAAGAGCAGTAATGATGATGATACATTTAAATAGGTATTATTAAACAAGCAAGTATATTATGAAGAAAAAGTATATTATGAAGAAAAAACACTTACATTTTTTATGGTAGCTCTGTCATCTTCTGCAGCTATGGCTTCACAGCTAGGTGTACTGGTGATGCCTAAAGCTGGAGCCAATGATTCCTCTGTTCTCGTTACTGGACTTTTGTCCTTCTGTGTAGGTGAACTGGTATCTGTCACACAGATGTTCTTGCATATGGAAGATCTCCTATAAAAATCAACAAGAACTCATAAGCAGAAAGAATATAATTTCAAATAAATATACATCCTATGCTACCGAAGACTACAGACACAATAAGTTTTAATAGAAGTATGATGTGATGATTCAAAATAAGTTGAACACGAATTCTGTGTTAGGTCACTGTTTACATCTTACAAGCATTGTTATATTCACAATTGATGTATGCTAATATATAACAAATAGCATTACTGCAGTCATCAAACGTAATATATTCACATTTGATTGCATAGTTTTCTTGAACATGCTAGCCTCCCATGAATATGCAACAATAAAAATTGAACATAAGAAAACAACTAAAAACATAATTTTGAGTTATGCAGTTAAGCTGTAGACGCCTTCGGCCTTTGGGGTTCACGCATGGTTAAGTTTTTATTGGAAATGTATACACAACTCATAGCTGCTGGAGACATGACAGTTGATTCAGCAAGTAAACACAGCCAGCATTCTTGCTTACGATGAAATCATTATGTGACAGTATTTGTTAGTTAAATAGGTACTAGTGGATATCAAGGACGATTAGGTTCGAACAAAACATGTCTATACCATACTACTACAGTGCCAAAGAATAAATTATTCAACAATTGGACGGTCTTCTTGAAAAGTTACTGATTTGTTGTGATCAGACATTTAATAAGCTTCTAGAAAGAGGCGGAAAAACAAGAAAAATGTATCGGAAAATCATAAACAACGTCTTACTTAGAACCCTTAATGGGTGTGAATTCCTCGGCATCGTAAAACTCCTCTGAATCGCTGCTATCGCCCATTGTAGCTAACTAATTAGAATGTAACAGTTTTTAGATTTGACGATTCATCTGACACTGTATTTAAAGCATCATTAAACATCAATTATTTCCACAAAAGTTGGTTTCAAGATTTCAATTCTGGTTCATCCATATTTAACTATTCTGTGTCTGACAGTTTGACAGTTGACGTATATGTTGATTGTTATTTTATCATTTGTTCGAGAGAGCAGGCAAAGGAACTAAGCCATACAGCCTTGTCTTTTTTATTTGAATATATAGAATTATAGAATTTCTTATTTTTCTTCTTTCCATCTCTTCAAATTCCATAAAGGCCGAAGCCAAGTCTTATTTTCTTTAATTCTTCATATTTTCAAAAACCACAAAGGCTAAAGCCAAGTCTTCTTTATATTATAATCTTTATAAGTTTCAATCCATATAGATTTATCAGTCCAGTTTCAAGGTTCCCGCGCTTTTTTTTTATTTTCTTCACAATATGCTGATGCGTCACATTGCGAAGCTCTTGGGACATTTTGACGACAGCTCAACCCAGCGGACAGTTGATGACGATAGTAAGTTCATAAGGCGTCTAAGCGATCAAAATAACTTGAGGTTTATATCGACATCAAAGAACTTGTTTCGTCGTTTTCTCTAATAGTTCACACGCGCAGACAATTAATTCACAAAATAACATCACTTTTACGAATTAAAATCCACTTCAAACCATTATTCAAGCGACAAAACAGGAGCGACAGTCCGTCGTCGGCCAAGTTCCCGCCAAAACTCCCCGTATATGTTGATGTTTGGCGTCTCACGCCCGACATTTCGCTTCGCAATCTTATGATGATGGTTCGACACACAAAGTTTCAACGAGGTTTTGACGGTTATCATAATACAGCTCGGACAGTTGATAACGATGTAGTACCTCAAGGAGCCCAATAAGTGATTATAAAATATTTATTCACGTCGCCATCCTAACTCTTCAATTTATTACATAGTTTCTATTAGTTCTCAGACACAACCATTTCATACGAATATCGCATCACTTTTGCGTATCAAAATCCACTTCAAATCATTATTTAAAAGATATTGTACTATCGGTATTCTCTCGGCGGGTTATTCAAGTTGCCGTAAAAGATACTTAGGTAATAGTTTGTCATATTTAATACCTGATCTAAGTAGATTTCTTGGAATAGATTTTTTAAACCAATCTTGAGTATCCAGGTTTTTTGTTTTATTAACAGATACTGACGAGGAGTTTATTTTCAAGTTTAATAAAAAATTATAAGGGAATTTTGATAGTTCTCATTCCAACTCCTAGGCGAACATAAAGTGCCTTTTTATTATAAAAAAAACCAGCAAAGAAATTGCTATAATATTTCCCAATCGTTTAAGGATATTTCAATTGTCAATAAGCTTAGCCTATTCCTTTTGATATTAGAGTCCAAAGCACAGAACACTATTACTCTCTACCGAGAGTCCAAAGACTAAAAATATAAATAAGTCATATTCAAATCGATTTATTTGAAATTATTTATTTTCTTGGGAATTGATTTTTAGGCAAATTCTGTCTATTTTGGAAATAATTGCCATCAATATAGCTGAAAAAATTGATCGCACTAAAATGTCACAAAAAGCTATATTAATGAAAATTGTTTATTTTACTTCTGACAATATAATTATAATAATTAACAATGAGAATTTGACGGCATACAGGCAACTGAACAGACAGATCTCCAAATGCATGCGGCGAGATTGAGAGGTTCTATGGACAGCTATACACATCATCGTTGGAGCCATACGCAAGTGTGAGTAACGATCCAAGAGCAAGTCTTATCCGACACTATTCCGATGATATCCCGGTCGTCAGTCTGAGCGAGATTAGAATGGCTCTCAAGTACCTTAAAAATGGCAAGTCCCCGGGCAAGGATGTAATTACAGCGGAGCTTCCGAAAGCGGGTGGAAAACCGGTACTTGAAGTCCTTCAGAGGCTCTTTAATTCCGTCCTTCATGGTGGCACTACTCCGGAGGCGTGTAGCAGAAGTGCGGTGGTCTTATTCTTCAAGAAAGGTGATAACGCCCTGAAGAACTACAGACCGATATCCCTTCTGAGCCGCATCTACGTGCTGTTTTCGAGTCACTACGAATCGTCTCGCATGCGGAGTCGATGACTTCCAGCCTCCCGAACAAGCCGGTTTCCGAATAGGCTTTATTAACATAGACCACATACATACCCTTCGGCAAATTGTACAGAAGACCGAAGAGTACAATCTGCCACTTTGCTTGGCGTATGTGGACTATGAGAAAGCCTTTGATTCCGTCGAAACTTGGGCGGTGCTACAGTCTCTTCAACGGTGCCAAGTTGACTGTCGGTATATCGAAGTGCTGAAGTGTTTGTACAGTAGGGCTACGATGGCTATCCGAGTACAGAACCAGAGTACGAAACCTATCTAACTGCAGAGAGGTGTAAGACAGGGTGACGTTATTTCCCCGAAACTCTTCACCGCTGCATTGCAAGACGTTTTCAAGCTACTGGACTGGAAAGGATACGGTATTAACATCAATGGCGAGTACATCACTCATCTTCGATTTACCGACGATATAGTCCTTATGGCAGAATCGCTGGAGGACTTAAGCACTATGCTCAATGCCCTCAATAGTGACTCCCAAAGGATAGGTCTTAAGATGAACATGGACAAAACAAAGATCATGTTTAATGTCCATGTCACACCTATGCCGGTAGTTGTTGGGAGCACTAAGCTCGAAGTTGTTGACGAATATGTTTACCTGGGACAAATAGTCCGACTAGGTAAGTCCAACTTCGACCGAGAGGTCAATCGACGAATTCAACTCGGCTGGGCAGCGTTCAGGAAATTACCTCAAAACTTGAAAACTAAGTTGTACAACCAGTGCGTGTTGCCAGTGATGACCTACGGAACCGAGACGTGGTTCTTCACTGCTGACCGTATGAGGACGCTCAAAGTTGCTCAGCGAGCTATGGAGAGGGCTATGCTCGGAGTTTCTCTGAGTGATAAACTTAGAAATGAGGATATCCGCAGTAGAACCAGAGTGACCGACATAGCCCAACGGATTAGTAAGCTGAAGTGGCAATGGGCCGGCCATATAGCTCGAAGAACCGACAACCGTTGGGGAAAAAAGGTTCTGGAGTGGCAGCCTCGTACCGGTACCACTAGATGGAGTGACGGCCCGGTAAGACATGTGTGTAATAGTAGACATAGTCGTAAAATTAATATTTAGGTTGCGTTTAGAGTTCATCATCATCATTACAGCCCTTCACAAGTCCACTGCTGAACATAGGCCTCCCCCAAGTAATGCCACAAAGCACGGTCCTGAGCCACCTGCATCCATTGACTTCCTGTATGTCTTACCAGGTCGTCACTCCATCTAGTGGGGGGGGGGTCACCCTACACTACGCCTACCGGTACGATGCTGCCACTCGAGAACCTTTCTTCCCCATCGGTTATCGGTTCTTCGAGCTATATGGCCGGCATTGCCACTTCAGCTTACTAATCCGGTGGCGTTTAGAGTTATTTATTAATTATTTACAAAGAGAAAAATATAAAATTACTTATATTTGTTAACTAATGTTTTATTAAAATTATTTATATACGTAATATCTTGTGCTATAATGATATTCACAAATCTATTATGTCATTATATTATTCTGTTAGAAGAGACATATTTATATAAGTCTTACGAGCTTGAGGTTCGTGACAATAAAAATTGCCGATAAAATTACCTAAATTAACACTTTATTTTTTTTTACACAAATTAAAACTAAAAACACTAATAATTAAACACACTAATTCACTTAATTCCGCTCCGAAGCTTCGCTTATGTCGCCGAGTTCAACTCTGCCCCGATCGCATCTTGCAGCGCCTATTTATATAATTAGCAAAGAAGCGTCCCGAACATTCAAGTAAATGCGCGCCAGGCAACGAGTATTCGAGTGTAGATTTTCCAGAAACTTAGTTCTTCGGGTGGCGCTGTCGGTCGAAAGATTTGTGATGTCATTTACTGCAAAGCTCCCCTCGCTCTCGTTCCTGACACTAGATGGCGCTAGTGCGCTGATTTGAGCGCAGCGTAACACTGCCCCCTCCTAAGACATGCTCGTCCCGAGCATTATCGGCCCCATAATAACGCGCTAGGCGGTCCACATGGATGATCTTAGGAGTCCCCTTTGCGCCTTTCTGTAACGGCTCCGCAATGTCAAGGGCTGTCCTATCCCGTGGTGCACCAACATTGTACAATTTCGATGCTCCTCTACTCCGTGTCTGAGGTCCCCTCACAGCCGCACAACTTGTACATGTACGACACCAATCCTCAACATCGTCACGATAATGGACCCAGTAAAACTGTTCTCGGACCTTCAGTAGAGTTCGTTTAACTCCCAGATGGACTCTTGAACGACCATTATGGCACAGCTGTAGAACATTCGGCACTTTAGCTTTATGGACAACCATTTGCAAACGACAGCTGTCTCCTCGACCATTGTTCCATTTACGGCACAGGACTCCATCCTGAAGCAGCAAGCTGTCCCATTGGGCCCAATAGCTTTTCGTGGTTGAACTCATCGCTGAGACGTCCTTCCACTTAGGCTTGGTAGCACGGGCCTTCATCCATCCCAGAATCGGCTTGATGTCCGGATCTTCCTGCTGTGCATGTCGTAGGCTGTCCTTCCACCCGTTGCTGAGGTGGTCTGTTCTGAGCATCCTCACGGATACCACTTCCTTTCCTTGCCTACTACAATGGTTGCCATCTTCAGGACAAGGTCTTCTTGACAATGCATCTGTGTTGCCGTGAGATTTCCCGCTGCAGTGTCTGATAGTAAAGTCGTATTCCTGCTGCTGCTGGGCAGTGCTGTTAGCCGCACTTCCTTTCTGAGACCGTTCACCTTCCCTTCCTAGGGTGTGCTTCGGGCAGCTGGCCCGAAGATGGCCACTTTCCCCACAGCCATAGCACCTAGGGCTGGATCTTCTACTATGGTCGCGAACCGTAACTGC